TTGTTGTTTTAAGTTCCGGCCACTCATTTTCATCGCTTAGGATAATTTAGTTCTCATCAAGAAAACAGCACTGATCTGAGAACGTGGCCACATTCCGGCAACAAAGTCCGACGAACCCGATTGTCACAATCAACGTTGACTTCTTGTTTAACGTGGGGGATGAAGAGAAGCCTCCTGACTGAAAGATCTCCGTTTGTGATCTAAGTGCGGCCATTTCCAAGTGAGGACGTGAAAACAACGTGGAAAATGACTGAAAAGGCTTAAATGCATTATTAAGACGTGCAGAATGCCCTTTAAATGTCATGTCTCTTATACACCTGAGAGATCAGGTTGAATTTATAGCCATGAAGTACTCACACACACACCATTAGATAATAAATAAATAAATAAAATTATACATATACTCCACCAACACTGTGTTGGATTCTACAGTCAGATATAGGTTTTTATACAGGGAATAGCTCTCCCCCCCACCACCACCACACTGCCCGCCTGTCTGTTTTTGTACGCCCCTAGTACGTGTTATTAATACTACCAAATAAAAAGTCAAGACTTATATCCTGCTGCTGGTTAAGTTTTGCCGCCTTACTAAGGAAACAAAGACCAACAAGTAACAGAATAAGCATGAGAACATTGTACGAAAGATTACTTTTTAAATCAGAACCGTAAAATGATGCATTTACATTATTCGTGATACGTTCATGTGCCCACAAGTTTTGTTCTGAGAGTTCAACAGAACACATGAAAACATCCCCCCCAGCCAAAAGACACACTGACACACACACACTGGCATGTAACACAAAGTGTGACACCCCCCCCCCTCCCTCCCCTCCCCAGTCAACTAAGGGACTGTTCATACAAAACCATCCATCCCCCCGAGTTAAACCCCATCTGTTCCTCTGGTAGAAGCAGAGAGAGAGAGAGAGAGAGAGAGAGAGAGAGAGTAAGGTGCAGGAGAAAAAGGGGTGGGGGTGCTGAGGTGAGGAGAAAATCAGGGTGGATTCCGGACACAGCCTCAGGAGGAAGATGGAGGGGACGGGCAGAGGAGAAAGCCCGCCAATGAGGGTGGCGGTGGAGGGTGGGAGTAGAAACAAAGGCAAAAAAAAAGGAGGAGGAGGAGGAGGAGGAAGCCCAATGCTTGGCCACTTGACAAGTTCCTTGTTTGGTGCTCCTGAAGGTCTCCGTAATGTACACGTGGTCTCACATAGCAGGTGTGTCTATGTGGCTCGGAAAGGAACAAAAAGGTCACTTTCCCATCCTGGAAATGGAGTCGGCGGCCGTGCAGTCGCTCCGCTGCCACTCAGACATCACCAGAAATACTAAGGTCCAGGTTCAGTGCGCGGCGGGGGGGTGAGGGGGGAGGATTCCTCTGCCACATAAGGAGGCATATTAGAGGGCCGACTGCGTTTATGGGGCCGGCTGCTTGGTCCACGATAAACTATCCGCTCTTGTGGACACACTATTTATTTATCAGGTAATTAGTCATGCATGAGGCCACAGAATGCTTAATTACAGTCGCATGTTTGGATTTCTCATTCAAATGAGTTGCTACATGGACAATTCTCAAGAGAAGACATGTAATTGCAGTATAATTTCAATCTGGCACAGTGACTCCTGCTTACATGTGTAACCACGGAGTGGTATTAAGTCAAGGGGAGCAAAAAAAGACGCTTTTGCAGACTCCTTCATGGCGTGATGACGTCATGAAAAGCTCATGTTTGTGAATTCACGATGCTATTTACCTCCCCTCGACAGTAAAGATCCTCAGCGAGGAGCACTTTGCTGGGAAGCTATTGATGATAAAAGCTTTTGAAATGTTGATTTGACTGTGAAATTGAGCGGCGGTTGTGAAGGCATCAGTCAGTGTTCCTCTCGTTTAATCCAAACTTCTTTATCCAAAGGCAAGAAGAGAAGCAGAGGGGGAAAGGGGGGGGGGGCACATGTGAGGGGAACATCTGTGAATTTGTGTGAGTGATTCTAGGGAGGGAGCACATGTGTGTGCATTTGTGGCAGTCGTGGTGGGCGTATGTTTGTGAGCGTGTATTCCCGGGTGCATTTTCTGAGGGAGGTGAGAGGCTGCTTGATTTTTGAACCTCTGTAAACAAGCCGGAGCCTTGTTAGCGGTGCCACTCGGGGGCAAAGCCGCAAAACAACTTTCAAGACCAAATCCGCTTCTCGGGAAGGTCTGAATTCCTCGCTTGTTACCGCGGAATAAATGCAAGAGAAACATAGAGAAACACAGCACGCACACACCAAAGTAAACCTATTTCCATAACCTGTCATTTGCAGGATTAAAAACACAGAGACATGCTCTGACAGGCCCACAGTGGACCTCTGACGACAAAATACACCTGACACACAGAAAGGAAACGAGGCCTTGAAAGGCATTAGCAACCAATACAAACCACCGATCAAGTACCATAGAAAAATGAAAATTTGCTTGTTAGAACTGCATTGCATGGATTAGTTCAACCACTTGTGTGTGTGTCGAGGTTGCCCTCTACTGGCCCCCTTTTCCTGTGGCATAAAGTACGGATCCGCAATATTAATGTTTTACTACATTTACATTTTAATAGAACACCAGACTTCACAGTAGCGTTAGATGCGAATGTCAGGCCTGTCAAAGCGCCGCTGTGTAAATAATGTCTCTCGTTCTTGCCACTTATGAGAATGCGAAGAACAAATGAAATATTGTTGGTCTCCAATATTTCAGATATTGTCGCCTTCTTATCATTTTTATGTGTTAAATATAATGTTTTAAAAGTATATACTTCTTTTGTTGGTAAGCAAACATAAGAAGAAAATGTGCAGGATATTAAAAGGCCTTCATGCAACATCAACACGGATATGGTGCAAAACCATATTTCGACGTTTCGCTCTCGGCAGTTTCAATTTGAACCGGCCGTATTCAGATTTGACTCCTGCCAGTCCCCGGCGCTTTATGGAAAGGCATTACTGACCCGTCACTGGAGAACTCATTTAGTTGTCAGACTGTCAGTCAAACACCTGTTCATTATGTAGAGGCTTTGCTCATATGTACTCACAGAAGGTTAACTGACATTTCGCCCGTTCTGATTTCTTTCTGTCAATACGAAAAAGATGTTTTTCCAGACAATTCCCGACATGACTCAAGGTCGAAAGGGTCAAATGCAGTTGAGATTCATCCGACTGTCGCCTCATAAGATACTGGAAGTACGAAGGAGGTTTGAATCTCAGTTGGTGGATGAGGAAAAGTGTTTACTCTTTATATAATATATATTTAATATTGACTTTTTTCTGATGTAGTTATCATTTCCCTCACTCTTCTTCCACAAAGCGAAGACGGGGAACGGAAGATCTCCACAGTGTGAACATCGTGGCATTAAACATCCGTCCCACATGCCGTCGTTTCCATCACCTGGGAAAACCCTGGTAATGTTCTCCTTACGCGAACAGATTGAGAGCGACATCATCCTCGCTATCGAGTAAACCCTGGAGACCGCTGGCGGGACAACAACAACATCCTCCAAAAGCCGGGAGCTCGCAGACGAGATCCTTCTTGAGGCCTTCAAATGCAACACGCCGCCGCATCGACAGGCGGCAGTTTGTCGTAGAAATCCCTCGGCACGCACACAGACACAATACCGCGGCACGCTGAAGTGAGTCTAGTTTTACACACGCTGCTCTGAGACGGCAATGAGGCGAGAGGGTTTACATGTTTGTATTTTTTCATCAACAAATGGCCGCCGGGGGCCCCCCATTCTCCTGTTATTGAAGTGCCTCCCGTGTGGATTCCCGCGCCGTGACACAGGTTTTTTTTAATTCATTTCTGTATGGAGATGTATGGAGCTTTATAGTTGGATAGAAACATGTTTTTAAAACTCCACCGTGGCAGATCAGCTCACATACTGGATTCAACAGTTTGTCAGCGTTTCCTGCCGGCATGTCAACCAGACAGCGGTGTGCCGCAGCAACAAAGACAGATATTAAAGTCGACTTTACGCTGTGTTACTGGATGTTTCTTCTCTCTGCGGGATCGTTCACCGGCAAAATTGGATAGTAACAAGATTACATCTTTTAGTGGAAGCAGAAAGGCCGACATGATACCCAGTGATCTTTACTAACTCAAAAAAAGGGATTTCATCTGGAGATGACACGCACAGAAAAAAAAGATGCATGCGTGTTTGCTGTTAATGTTCTTCACAAAAAAAAAAAAGATCATTCTGCCCACATGCACGAGCAATCTCATCATCTCATGACATCCGTCTCCGCAGCCCCACTTACCATGACATTTTGTTGCTGTGCCTATAATTGATTTCTACTTCAATTTATTAATATAGCCTGTGGAGCGCCTGGAGCACAACGCTAGTTATCTGCAGCCCACCAGGAGCTTAATCTCCAAAGATGAGCAGAATTAATAAGCGTGTTCAAGTAACATATTGATTACAGAATCGATGTGTGCTCCTCTGCCCCGTGCCTCAAATGATTACTCTAAAGTGTAACAGCATTAAGTGAGTGAGTGGCTTTTTCAATCATTTTTGCTTCAACAATGTCTTTTTTTGTAATGATAGTGTGATCGTTTTTAACCGTACCTTTCACAGCAAGAGGGAATACAAAGAAACGGATGAACGGATGCTCTTCTTTTCATTGCCTCCAGGTTTTTATTGATGAAGTGTACATTGCTGCTTCATGGGTTTCTTTTTGGTGGGGGGGGGGGGTCTTGGTTTCTAGCTCCTTGATGCAAATCTGTGATTTGTGACATCGAGCTCTATAAATAAATTGACTTGACGTGATATTCTTTCCCCGCAGGCAGCTTCCATCTTTACATTTACCAAGGAACCACTCTCAGTCTTCCGAATAAATTTCCATTTTTTAAACACACAAAACAGGACAGATACTTTTAAACATCTTTCTTCAAAAGATATGTCTCAATATATATTTACATTGTGAGCTTTGAAATTATGGCATATGTAAGAACATAACATCACAAACATCTATTTCTTTTTTTTTGCTAGTGTACCATTTGAAAGCTATTTCTCCAGTGTGAGAACAATAAGGGTTGTCGGGGCAATCCATAAATAAGCATATTATCACTAATGCTACATATCTTGATCCAAAGAGGTTCGTTAGGATAGTTTCCATGCCACTATGCATCATACCATCTCATAGTAAGCCAACAGACATATTGAGCTGTTTTGGTCTTATAAAAATCTTAAACAATAGAGACATTTCTTTTTTTTAAATAGAGGATATCTACACACATTTGACAACATGTATACATACCTAACAAAGGGCTAATCAGCTGTCCCTATCAGCAAACATCAGTACGGGTCTCATGAATATCTGCTTCAGCGGACTCAGCGGGTTAATTTGAGTGCGGTGGGATGAACGTTGCAGATGTCGAACCAGTGCTGATCCACCTCCTTGTGTGGCAGCAGCCCATTTCGCGGCAGGAAGGGCCGGCGCCAGCGATCGCGGCTCCCCAACACCTGCCAGAAGCGCGTGCCCTTGAGGAGGAAGACGGCGTTGTGGGTGTAGGAGAAGTACGATGCATCGATGCTGCCATCTGGATGGTCTCCGCTCACCACTGGAGGGAAAACGTCTCTGATGTTTTTGGGGAAGCCTCTCGCCAAGCTGTTGGCTTCCACGTCGAACGCGTACACCTGTTTGAACAGATGATTGTTTTTCTCTCTTATAGTGAAATCAATTCAATTACAACACACCAACAAATCACAGGGGAGGTGTAGCGGGTTTGTTTGCATGGACACGTTGCCTCATCACGCTGAGAAACAATGACTTAGCTTGGGCTTTGGTCTCGCCAAGACAGTTGCTTATGCATACATATTTAATGCTTAGTGTATTCTGTTTGTACCTCGTCGCCTCCTTGTCCCCGGCTGTACAGCGCCGACTTTACATGGCAGCTTAATAACATGCCACAAAGCAACAGGTTGCCCCATGCTGTAATAATAGGCTGCAGGTATTCAGAATTTAAATTATTTTGTGCTAGTTTGATTAACACGACTTTAGGATTTATTAAAAAGGCTTTGGTTTGAAGGATATCTTTACTATTCAGGGCCACGGAATTATTAATGGTGAGACAGAAAAATTGAGGGTATACCAATGCATTCATTTGGATCAAAATATCAATCCTCCACAAAATATCATAGATGAAAACATTGTACATATCGTCACATCTATGTGCTTTTATTTGGAATTTCCCACGGCACGTCTGCATGACCATTTCCAACCGAGCGCACCTTCTACCGACAGAGCTCAGTAATTATATTTGTTCTGTTGCTTACTGTGAGCACATCCAGATGTAACTGATTATTTATATGATGGAATCAAATTAAAACCATATTGTGGCAGACTTTGTGATATCAGCAGACATTGCGTAGTTTTCCATAATTGATATAAAATCGAATCCTAGTGGTTTTTACGGCCTCAGTTGATATTGTCGGACAGATTTATAGTAAACCATATTACCGAAACACACACAGGTCTTTTCTGGTTCCTTAGGGTCTGTGACACCATGACTGTTTCCCACTTTGCTAAATATTGCACTATATTGTCTCTTCGTTTGTGTTATCACACAATTCTGAGATATATTCTTCTTTCTAAGTAGACAAACACATTGATGTGACCAACCAACAGTTATCGTGTAATCGTTGTGAATTAATAAGGATAAGAATTCTTACAAGGGTGTTTTTGAAGAAGTAGATGCGAGAGTCCCTCCTATCATAGAAGGCTGTGTCAATGGGAGCGAACACCCCCGGGAAACCCTCGGAGATCAGCCTGGGGTAGCGGTGACCTTCGGGGTCCTGTTTGAACGCCTGGTCGTTCTCACTGTCGTACCTCCAGAACTGAGCCCCTGCACGCAAAGACAACATTCACCACCTCTGAAGACCTCTTTGAAGATGTATGCAGCAAAAAATAATGACCCTAGTGGTTTCGCACAGTATTCACATTTGTAGGACCGTACAGCTGTTGTTTTTTGGGCCTACCTTTGAAGAAGTAAACAGCATCCATTTTTCGGGACCACACGTGCACGTACGCATCCACTCCGTCACTGGGAATTCCACGCCAGCCAGCCTGCAGGACGACTGGATCGCCGAAGCGCGTTCGGTTATTTCTGTTCTCGTACAGCCAGTACCAGCCGTCCCTCATGAAATAGGTGTTAAAGCGGATGACCACCTCCCCGTAGGGCGTCTTCTCCTTTCTGATCCAGTCAAATGCTGTGTTGAAACGACCCTTACAGCCACCTGAGGTCGCACATAAGCACATTGCAAAAAAAAACATTTGTAAAATAAAACTGAGACTATGTCTCTGTGTGTATCCACTAGATGGTGCTGTAACTGCGTACCGTAGAGGTGCTGCACGGCCTTCCTGTCCATCCAGTCCATCTCGAAGCCCGACTCCTGAGGCAGATAGCTGGGCTGCATTATGGAGCCAGCTCTGTAGATGTGGGGGAGACCCAGAACATGGCCGATCTCATGGACTGCTACCTAACAGATGGGAGATTATTGTTGTTATTGTTGCGGTTCGTTTTCCATTCAAGCTTCAGATGATTCGCTTCATCGTTACTCACTTTGAGGAGGCTGATGCCACTTCCAGCGTTGGGAGTGGTGAAATGTTCGTCGTCATCAAAGTGTATATCACCCAGGAACCAGGCGTGGGCAAATTCTTGACCAGTGCCATCAAACCTCTGGTTGCAGCCCAGATGCCTTCCTATTTGACATTTAGTGGCAAAAAAAGATGCACAGATTTCTCCGTGAAGTATTTGAAGGACAATGTTACTTCACAAGATGCAGATAGATTAAAACAATTAAATCTACCTGTGCCAAAGCCCAGCCTGATGTCAATATCCTCCAATGGAGAACGCGTGTCCTCCACAAACTCCAGGGGAGACACCTCGCTCCACATCCTGAAGGCCAGTCTGAAGATGTACCTCTGTTCTTCAACGGACAGCTGGCTGCTGTACCCTTCGCCTATCAGCCTCCATTTCAACACCCTCTTGGTAAAGGCCATGTAACCGGTGTCCCTCAGATCTCTCCTGCGGCGGTTTTTGGAAACCAGCGCGGCGAGGTGACGTTTCCTGCGTCGCACCGCTGGGCTCTGACGGGCGTTCGCGCCGCCGTTTGCCGCCCGTCCGTCCCCGTTGACCACGTGCGAGCCGTTTGCAGAAGGGTCATTCAAAAAGGGATCGTATGTGTCAACTTCGCCGGTGTGAATGCCGCTGTCGTTGGAAATGCCGGCGAGACCGCTTGCTGCGTCGTTCACATCGAGTATGTCGTCTTTGAAGGTTTCAGGAGCGCCAAAAGAAGAACTCTCGCCGATTATATCACTTGATGTGTCCGTCTCTGTCCACGGCTCACTTCCTCCGCTGCCAGCATCAATGGCGGTATGCTTTTCAGGCGCTACAGGGGCGTCCAGGCCAATCTCCTTGTCAGGGACTCCGCACCTGGGTTTGTTCATTGCCACCCTGGTGACCTCATCAAACACACCTGTAGCAGGCAGACCGGATACCCTCTGAAACTCCTTCAGAGCGGAGATGAACTCTCGGCTGTTGTGGTCGTCGGGATCGCCATCCTGCGGGGCGTCCCTTGACCGATGCAAGGTCCCTTCCTGGATCACGTCCCGAAGGTCGTCCAGGAAGTCGTCGTTAACAGACGTGTCGGAATCTTCAAACTGGACCTCTTCCCAGTTCACCGCCTTAATGAATCCATATCTAGAGAGAAATAGCTAGAACAAGACACGGGTTACATTCTGTGATTAGAACAAACAATGGTACAATGTCTGATTGGGATGGATGGTAAGACGTTTACCTCCGCTGTGTATTTGTTCGTTATAACCTCAGCTTGGTGAGGAATAAGGGTCTGCACATCGGAATGATCCCGGCTGTGGAAAAGCTTCTCTGCATCGGCTGAGCAAACGCTCGCCCAAAAAAGGAAAATCATCCGCTGGATAGAAGTCAGCATCGTGCCGTTGGCTTAACTCAGGTAACTATGTATCAGTAACCAAGAAGCCACAGGGCTTTATAGGCCGATCCTGAGCTCGGCTACACCCATCTAAAGGTGCGACTCTTTGGAGGTATCCCACTTTCCTCAACTTGGTGTGAAAAGTAAACCCGTCTTTATGGGCTCCAACTGCTCAATTTCATTGAATTGAATGGCTGTGTGATTCATGCTCCACTGGTTTTAAATGGATTGTCGTTGGCCTGTGGAAGGAGGTTAAAGCCTTAACTTTCATCTGGGACAAAGGCAGTTTAGGAAAGCTCGGACTTCTGCCAACACCTGTATTGAACAGGAAACACACTCACGCGCACTTGAGGGTTTTACAATCAATAACCACAAACCAAACCTTTCAAAATCACATTAGCTAACATTTATTTTCAAAAAACAGAGCTACATTGACCCTTCCCGCCAAAAAAATTATAATTATATTCACATTCATTTCTGAGGCTCTTATGGAACAAAAAGCTTTTTTTTTCAGTGCAAATAAGCCGATCTGGTAAAAGTAAGACAGAAAAAGACATTATAAATACGTATAAATAGTCAGGGCAAAGAAAGACGGAAAATAAAGTGGATGGATTTAAGCGCTGCGGCCCGCGGGGGGTTGCTGTAGCGCTTTGGCTATCGCTGCTGCCAGGTGTTCGGCTGTCGGCTTTTCTGCAGTGCAGCTGACGCGCAGGCCTTCCGCCGTCATGGCGTCCCGCGTAGTAGGCCCTATGGCTGCGAACTGGAAGACAAAAGGAGTTTTTGTGACCCGTCCGCGGCCCCCCGAAGAAGAATCATGCGTTGTTTTTACGCGTGCTGCACCTCTATCTGAGTCAGCCGGTCGCCCGACAGCCTCCGTACCGCCTCCAAGCAAAACTTCACCCCCGACGGACTGAAGAAGGCGACGCTGGCCGGAGCGCCCTGCAAGTGCACAGACCAACCGAGTATTGCTACGTGCAGAAAAGGTCCTTCTCTGAAGTGCAGAAGGAGTGGGACTGTACCTGCTCTGTGAAATAGTTCTTTAGATTTTTCTCCAGATCTGGATGTTCAGCGGTTTGATAGACAGTCAGCGTCTCAAGGGGAACTCCTGGAAAACAAAGAAAGAGATCCCAGCCGTGATAGATGTAGCGCAATTTTTTTAATTTTATAATTGGTGTAGTCCCGGTGGGACTTTAATCACCTTGAGTCTTAATCTTGAGATCTTCAGGCACAATAGAGGAGAACACTTACCATTTCCCTTTAAAGCCGTGGGCAACACTTCTCTTTTAATTGAGCCACAGGGGAAAAAAAGCGGTGGAATATTTGTGTCCTCTCCTATGAAAACGAAGACAATAAAATATAAGGTCGTATTAGTTAGCGTAGAAATGGTAAAAGTCCCATTAAACTGAACCGTGAAGAATGCGGGCGTATAAAGTCATATCGTACGTTCAATGATAAGACGTGATAGGACATCTGCTGTCCCCGTGTCCTCGCCCAAAGCCTTCAGACCCAGACTCCCTACTATAACAACAGAAAAAGGACGGCCGATGTCAGCAACACGCTATCAAATGATCACACAAACGAATGATTGAGTTCAGCTCGGTCCACCTGCTTTGGCTACTAAATACACAACTAACTGACAACAAAGACATCAAGAGTCACGAAAGGGAGACGTTAAAGCACACGTCAGGCAGGTGCTGCACCTTGCGCCAAACTGTCACTCGTGTGCGACCTACTTCTAAATGACTGAGGGTGGTAACAACACCTCGCACACTTCTGTGAGCACCAAGTGCCCGCCACACTCTGCTACAATTAGAATTGACATCACAAAAGGCTGTTTTTTTTTCAATAAGGAGAAAAGGGGTTTCATAAGTGACAATAACTCACCTAGTGCAGCAGTTGCCTTACCGACCACATAGATGGACTTGCTGTTCCATTTCTCTTTAACGGAGCTGTTCCATTCTGAAATAATCAGCGGGAAGTGAAGTTGAAGTTGAGAAACACGGTACACAGGATTCATAAGACTCTTCTTTTCGATTGACAAACCTGTGACGTGCAGGGTGCAACAATTATATTATTATTTTAAAACGTGATTCCTTTGTGCCCACCTTCCCTCCTTTCTTCTGCTTCTAAGCACATCTGTACGGCCTCCACTGCTCTCGGACTGGTAAATACAAGACCTCCGTGCTTTTCTGGTTGGAAAAGCTGGGAAAAAGAAGACATCTTAAACTGCAGACAAAAGATACAAAAATTCAATGAACCCATATTAATAGAATTTACCTTATCGGACAATGTGTTTAATGAGACAAACTTAAAAGACAGCACAGGAATTAGGGTTGCTTTATGTCCATGTGTTGCCAACTCCTGAGGAATCAAAAGAAGAACTTCCAGTCAATGCCTTCTGGGTGCAAAAACATATGTGAACACGGCACCTAACAAGGAGGGCATTCACCTTGATGTAAGGGTCCGGTCCAGACTCTCCATCCCTGGGCTCTTTCAGAAGCAGCACATGCATATTGGCAAGGCCTTTAAAAAGCTGGAGCGATGAAATCAATTGGGAAGAATACAACAGATCAAACCACGGTGAAATTTCAATTATGCTGCCATAGAAGAAAACAGCCAAAGCCAGATGCTCCGAACTGCAAAAAGCGTGAGGACGGTGGGCGTGAAGACACAGCGAGCTACACCCTAAAACTGTCATATGCAACCTACCGATAACAATACTGTTGAGTCATGTTTTTGTGGAACTGTAGATGTGGAGAAAATGAAAACCATTCATGTCACACGTTGTCGTTGGATGCATGTATAACATATGTTGCGTTAGCTGCAATGTGGCTATGTCTTCTGTTATTGTTTACATCGGCAAGGCATTGTGAAAGACAGTTTAGCTAGCTCGTAACCGTCCGCCGCTTATTAGAGCTTGTCCGTAATGCGTCGGGATAATAAGCAGTAAATCTACCCGGCTTGTTTAGTACAATGATGTGAATTACAACAGACACTATAAAAGGACAACATATTACACGATATGCATGTACCTTGAGTTGTCGCTACCGCTGACTACATAACGACTTTCAGCCAGGTTCAAGAAGGGGGGATATTGCATTGAACATTTCACTAACTTGAAAATAAATTACGTTTTTTCTGCAATAATACATATTGTTTTACAATGAATAACGGCTAAACTATTAAACAACATCATGCAATCAGCCTGTTAATAACAAATCCATAGTAGTATGCATATTTCAATTAACAGCTGTCCCCTTTTTCTGAAGTGGTTTATTCCATTTTCGCGCAGGGCAACAAGGCCACATTGCGGCTCCGAGGCTCCTACGGCAAGAGGCAAGTCGTGTATATTCAGAGCCATAATGGCGGCCTGGACCCTCAGCTTCCTACCTCGCTGTGAGCTGGACTTTAGCAATAGCCCCGCCCACTCGGTTCAAACTCGTGTTCCCTGTTTGTAAGCATGGCTTCTTCGGCTAAGAGAAGAGCAGTAGGTTTGGCAGAAAATCCCGAGGAAAGACAAAACAGCTCCGATGAGAATTCGGAGGCGGATGCTGATTCCGGGGAGGAAGACAGCGATGCGTCAGAGGAGGAGATCAACGAGGTAAAAAGAAAAGATGATTCAGTGAACGTAAATTCCATGCATGGCCTTTCTAGCTAGCTAGCCAGCTAGCTAACTTTAGCCAACTCAGCTGTTGGCTAAAGGTAACGTGACGTAGTGTTAATAACATGGACAAACTGACTTAACGTTAAGTAGCTATGGTAGTGTTACTTAACGTCGGTTATTATGGCTAATGTAGCTAGTAAAGGATTTTACAGTGCGTGTCAAAAAACGCTGCTACTACTACTACTAATGTTACTTGAGTGAAACTAAAATGACTCACTCATTCGATAATTATATCAAACAACTAAAGCTACCCAAATAGTGTAACAGAAGTACTTAAATCAATACTTTCTCCACATGCAGGCGTTTTGTGTTGCTCTCAACTAACGTCACTCCCTGCTTTGTTTTTGTTTTGCCACCAGGAGGTCATGGTTGACTTTGAAGCCCACACCATCTCGGTCAACGACTTCAATGGTGTCAAGAGACTCCTACAACAGGTCTGAGGCCATATATATTTATATATATATATATGTATGTGTGTGTGTTTTTCTCTCGCGCTCATATGTTATATGTTGTAAGCATGGCCTCACTTCTGTTGCGTTTGGATACAGCTCTTCCTGAAGGCCCATGTAAATACTTCAGAAATGACAGATCTCATCATTCAACAGAATCACGTTGGAAGTGTCATTAAGGTGCGTTTTAACCTCAGCCCACATTTTCCAGGGGAATTTCCAGCTCGTTACCGTGTGTTAACTTGTCCCTTGTCCCCTGCTCCAGCAAGCCGAGGTGCCAGATGACAGCGACGATGACGACCCGGACGAAGTATTTGGCTTCATCACTCTGCTCAACCTGACTGAGAGAAAGGTAACCCTAACCCTTTGGCGCACACTCCAACCTACAGACTAGTGGGCTTTTGAGGGATCTGATCATTTAGAAAATGTACTCCTCTGTCCTTTTTTGCTGTCGACAGGATGTGCAATGTGTGGAAGAGTTGAAGGAGCTGGTCGTGAATCAGTGCGAGAAGAACTCCACCCAGAGTGTGACGGAGCAGCTCGAGCAGATCCTCAATGACAGCAGCAAGCCTGTTGGGCTGCTTGTGAGCGAGCGCTTCATCAACGTGCCCCCTCAGATCGCCCTCCCACTGCACAAACAGCTCCAGTGAGAAGCGTTAACTACTGTTTTTTTTTATTTCATTTGGAATAACTGACCCTAAAAATCCTCCTCCTTAGGGTTTCAAAACGTGTCGTGTCCAGAAAGAAAATTAACTGAATTTACTTTTCCTCCAGGGAAGAATTAGCTGATGCTCAGAGGACAAACAAGCCCAGTGAGAAGTGTCACTATTGTCTTATGATCAGCAAGACGTGCAAAGAGGCAAACAAGAGTGTTCCAGCCAGAGGAGGAGCTCCCAAAGATGAATACTTGTTTGTCAATGCAGAGGAGGAATTCTTCTATGAGGTAACGTCAAGTAAATGCAAAGTCAGAGATGGTCACTTAATCTTAAAGAAGTAATAATCAAAATGGTCTTCCGTCTGTTGAACCTTTTTGATTATTACGTCTTTTTTCACTTTCTAGGAAGAAAAAACAGTAATTTGTTTGTGTTCACGCTTGGATATTAACAAATTTAATCATCGTGGGTGTTGTCCTTACAGCAAGCCATCTTGAAGTTCCACTACTCGGTCCAGGAAGACGCAGACACCTGTTTGAGTGGCAGGTGGTCATTCGAGGATGTCCCCATGAAACCTTTCAGGACAGTGATGCTGATTCCAGCAGACAGAATGCCTGCCATCATGACCAAACTCACAGAATATCTAACTGTGTGAACTGAACCAATAAACTGACGTCCGTGCACACTGAACACCTTCGGGCATGGAAATGGTTTACTATATTGAGAGACTGGAGAAGAAAATATTTTGGTAGCATAATCTTGAGTTGTGTATTATAAATCTTAGCTTTAGAACATGCCGTGCAGGGACTTTTATAAAATACATTTTAGAGAAACTGTTCACTGACAAACTGTACAAATTCACTTTAATATACCCTGCTCAGTCGTACTGCAGAAACATGCAGTTGTTGTATCGTGAATAGAAACAGTTTTATTTTGTAGTCAAGCCTCAGCTGGTGGAAGAACGCCATTTGTAATTGTATAATTATATATCTATATCTATAATTGTGTCGATTTGAAAGAGGATCCAGATTCCCAGCCAAATTCCACATACAAATTCGATTAAAACGCGTTCAAATCTTGATTGGACTTGTGCTTTTCTGGAGCACTTTCCATAAACCTCTGGAATCTCTTCTCTAATAAAAGCATTGCATCTACATGGCTTGAATTTGCTTTCTTAATGTCAACAAATTTCAGTCTGAAACCTGAACTTTACACACCTCATTAACCTAAAAAGAGGTGCACTGCCAACTCTTAAGAATCCAGATGAAATGAAGTATCCTCCAGAAGCTCGTACATGCTGTGTATCAAACCACCTCATTAAATCTGCATCCTCTTGCACAAGACGTTTGGAATTTTTAGTACAGCAACAGATGACATCCATCTGCTGCTCCTTCAATAAAGGCTGCTAAAGGCCGTCGCGCTGCTCACATTTGCAGACAGTGTTGAAAAGGGAGGACAGAGCGAATATAAAGCAGCACACAACTTAATCCGATGCAAGAAATCACGGAAATGGGATGTACTGACACCGCAGAATATATAAGGGCCACGATTAACAAACATTATCCCGTGACTCGTTTTTTAAAAATAATTGAAAAGAATGCAGCTGAGATTTCCATTCACGATGTTGATCATTGAATCACACATCTGTCATAAGTCTGTGACACCACCGCGCACCCGGCGTCGGCATCGCCGCCGATCGTGGAGGCGTTTTGTTTCCCGTCTCCGCGTTTTCTGGATCCTTCTGGGTTCAACATGTCTTGTAGCATGTCTTTGCTTTCACTGGTGGGCAGATTGTAGAAGAAGTACATGGGAGCCATTTGGATGTACCTAAAGTGACAGAAATTATGTTGTAAAAAGGAGAAAAAGTGATTGTTGATGTTTCTTTATATAAAAAAAACCCCGGGAAATCTTTATTGCAATAACAAAAACAATCAAAAACATATATTTGTGACACCAGCGTGTGCGCAAAAAACACAATCCATGAAAATGTAATAATAATGTGTTTGGACTTACACTTGTGGAGAGATTTCAGACACCGTTCTCATGTGGTTGTTCTGGGACAGGGTGTACTCGTGGAAAACGACCCACTCCGGCAGCCCCAGCTTGTGTGACTGAGGCCCGTAGCTGGACAGAGGATGCATCTGAGCCATGTGCTTGTGTGTCAGAATGAAGTAGTTTCCAGACCCGTCCACGTCTCGTGCGATCTACGAATACATTTTTTTTTTTTCAGTCAGTACCGTAGAATCACTGGCGACTTCCTCAAGATTGATATTTAGTTTCCACACACCTGCATGAAGAAACCGGCCAGCAGAGCTCTTTTGACGTTGTGGGTGTTGGTTTTGGTTCCGAAGAAGGGCTCAGAGATGGGAAGCTCGATCCTGTTTAGGGTCTCGGTCAACTCTGATCTAATGGCCTCGGCTTCCTTCAGGGCAGAATGATCGAGGAAATAGTCCTGGCACCACTTTTCAGTAGTGAAGTCTGAGGAAACATACTGTAGTCAGGTAGGATTTTGGCAAAGTCAAAATTAGGGCAAAAGGATGGAAATCATAAAAATCTGCTCAGACTGCACCTTTGCACATAGATTAAATCAAAAAACTAAAAAACTAAAATGTAGCAAAAATAATGTGTCTCTTATTAGCAAAACCTGAAGTAGACCACCTAGTTATTGCACTTGCACAATTCTCTAAAGGTCCCCTTTAAATGAGTACATCAAAAGCTGCAGCCTACTTGAAAACATATTACGCCAGAGAAAGCAGATTCATTTTGTCCACCAACTGAGTCCTACATGGTTCTCTCTGGCTTTGTTTGAAGGCGTTGTAGATGTTGATGAGGGTGAAGTGATCGCCTTCAGGGTGCTGGAACTTCCTGTGACACTGGACCGCCTCGTGGCTTCTACCAACAGGTGGCTCCAGGAAGCAGCTTGTGGCTAAAAGACAACCACACAATGAGGTCATCACCAATGAGACTGAGATGAGACTATCTGGTTCTGTGTCAGGGGAGAAAGCGCAGCTTCGTACACCTGCGAATAAGCTACTACGACGATCTGACGAATCTGCAAAACCAGTGACAAGGATCCTCGCTCATTAGGGACAAATCTTCCACCGAGTGGAAGCAGGAATACGTGGTACCTGAAAGCATCGCTGCGATTGTCAACATCTCGCTCACGCAGTCAAACTCGCAAGATGCCAGCAGCGCTTTGGCCATCTGAGGCTCCAGGGGGATCTCAGACATGATGATGCCAATCTCAGACAGGTTGCCATCGTCGTCTAAAGCTGCGAGGTAATCGAGCTCCTCCAACGCCTGCATGAGACCCTCGGGATCTGCAACAAGGAACAAAAAGGCTTGTGTTTGACATGACATGGGTTCCATAAATCAAAGTGTACAGAGCTGTGTATTATCTTTAGGGCGTTACTCCTACTTAAAAGATGCTTTATGAGGAATTTGAAAACACCCCAATGTACGTAATTGGGAGGATCCCAATGCCCCCCAGTGGTAGTACGCAAAAATGACACCACGGTAGCTGCTAAAAAACATATATTGTAGTTACTAAGGTGATGAATCAATTGAAAAGTACAATCATTTTCTCATAGAGCTTGATGCAGATCAGAGTTTTTTTGCAACCTCTCCTTTCAGTCTGCAAGAGAATAACGATATTACAGCACATTTGGCCATTCTCTTCTCTTCATTGTGCATGTCTGTTGCTGCCCTAGCGGGACCTTGTTGTGTAATCGTTAATGAGCTGGCCTCTTTTAGCCTGTTCTGTTCACGTTAGGGTCGGTTAGGCCTCAGACAATAGTTAGTAGCGGAGTCCTGTCAGCTCAGCTAAATCATGGATGACTGGGCCCAAAGAGCTACGAGGGGCAAATTCGTTTGTGCTTCCTCTGGCCAGCCAACTCCCCCTCCACCACCACCACCCACTCCGGATGCACCTCTTTGGCTGTGATTCAGGGTGGAAGCACGATGTTGTCTGTGGGAACCAGCAACCTCAGTATAAAATGCAATGTCCACTAGCAGGCTACATCACCTGGTCGCTCTATGAAATCGCACTGTCCAAGGCCGGCTATCTCCATCCTTTTTAGGAAAAGGACAGTTGGAGTAATGTTGGACTCCAAAATCTGTGCCGGGTTCTCTGCAGGGAGCTGTCCGTCTTCTTGATACAGGCAGAAACATTTGCCTAGGAAATGAATTCAGAAGGTAAAATAGCGACTTAATTATAGTTTTACATGAAGTGTTATTATAGTAAATATTCCAAGAGGGAGAGAGAGCGATTACCAGCCCCGAGTCTGATAATATTTAACAAATGAAATTTGTTCAAGCATCGCCCCGCTGTAGAACACGGTCAAACACACCAGTTGGTCCACAGAGCCGCCTGCGTATGTCTGCCTGATATTGACTGATGGGTTGAAGAACCTCAGAGTTGGCTCTTATTCTTGGATTGTACACCTAGAAAAGATCCAATCACATGCCAATTAATCAATCACTGTATTACTCATTTAAAGCAAATATGATTTGATGGCAAAAAAAAGCGAACCATCTTCTTCTGGACTCCTGTGTCGATGACGAAGTTGACCGACTCTGTGGCCCACCACATATCCTCCCCCTGTTTGGTAGAGAGGAAAACCCTCCTGGACCTCTTGGAGCCCGGTGGCCCAGGCGGTATCCCTCCCCGCCGGGGGCACAGCACCACAGGGACCATCTGGCCGAGCTCGGCTCCCAGCCTGGTGCCTTCTCTCTGGAGGATGCTGTGGGCACAACGGACCTCCTGCACGACATACGGCAAGCAAAGAACATGTGCTCAACCACCTTTGGTCTCGTCAAAATCGCTTCTTAAACGTCGCGGCGATCTTTCTTACGTCGGCGGAGGCCAAAAACACGACAACGTCTCCCTCCTCTTTGGTTCGATGGATCTCCAGCGCCAGTCTCAGCGCTGAGAAGAAGTAGTCCTTGTTGCCGCTGTTGCTGTGGACGTCCTCAGCGGGTGGCGAGGCCTCCAGCGTGATGAGCGGGACGCCGTGGTAGTGGCTCACCAGCTTGTCGGTGGCGGGCGGGACGGCGAGGACCACCACTCTGAGCTCAGGCCTCTGCAGCAGGATGTCCTTCAGAAGACCCAGCAGTACGTCAGTGCTCACTGTCCTCTCGTGGGCCTGGTCGATGACGATGACCCCGTAGTGCTCCAGAAAAGGGTCCGACATCATCTCTCTCAGCAGCACATGGTCGGTGCAGTACCTGAGCGGGGAAAGCCATGCGAGGAGTCAATGGCCATCACAAAAGCAAAAGCATGCAACGGCGGCCATATTTGACGTAACGTTTGGATCCAAACGGTGTTTGTGTTCAACCAAATAGAAGGTCAGATAATGACTGAATGAGAGTTTGCAGGTTTTCTTAAAAAGGTGTTGGACGGCCGCCTGTGAAACAGACCTCAGGATAGTGTCCGAGGAGCAGCAGTTCTCCAGAGGGATGGCGTAGCCCACTTCGTGGCCTATGTTGACGTCCATTTCGTCGGCCACGCGCAAGGCCAGATCCACGGCGCTCTGTGCGCTGCTCTGCGTGCACACAACCATGCCGTGCTGGTACTTGGCGGAGAGGCAGAACTCGGCAGACCACTGAGGGATCTGAAAGAGAACATCTCTCAACTTTAAAAAAAATAATGATTCACAGAGACTCAGCTGGAGAGCATCCTTTCAATCAAAGTGGCACCAACAGCTTTTCTATTGCAAAACAAACAGACGTGAGCTATCCAATGGTATTATCGCTAATAATGCAAAATTGCTTTGGCAGCATGAGGCGGCTCCAGCGGATCAGGACCCGGCAGCAGGAGGTCCCCTTAAATCCCCGCTGGAGCCTTTGTGAAGCTTGACTGTCCGCCTGAAGCTTGGACGGCCATGGCGGCGACACAACAGCATCCGCTGAGCTGGGCAGCCTGTTCACACCGGCTGACCACAATGCCGCCATCTCCATACATGTCAACAGCGAGAGAATAAAACAAATCCAAACCAAAAGAAACCAAATAGTATGTCAAAAGTCGTTACTGTTGAGGAGATAAAGATGGCAATGCTGGGCAGTAAACAACTTTTATTTTTGATCAAATTAAGGGAAGCAGGGCTCTAATTCAAGTCATACACATTCAGGTATGCTTGGTATTTAAGGTCCAGACTGAAGGAATTCAAAATGTCCCTGAGCAGAGAATTGAGAGGAGATTCACTTTTACTCCGCATCAGATCCGCATCCTTTTTCCCTAATAAAGGATAAAAACGTGCGTGTTATTGATCTCATACCTGCGTGCTCCTCCCAGTCTGCGCCGTCCCGGACACAACGACCAGTTGGCTGTTAACCAGAGCCTCTTCAAACTCGCACCTGGCCTCCCACACGGACAGAGTCTGCCTCTCCCGCAGCAGCTCGTAGTAGCGGGAGGAAAAGGGCAAGCCGTCGAATGGATTTAACTCCAGATCATCTCCGAAGCCAAACGCATCATCCGCGGGGCATTCCTCGCTTTCCGGGCGAGTGTTTGGCTCGCCGGGAATCCCTCCATCAGACATGACGCATACAACGAGGGGTCCACACATGGGTTCCCTACCGCTCCAGCTACGGCTCCATTTCGTTTTCTTCTATTGTTCCATCGGAACGATTAAAAAGATAATCCGTTTCGTGAACTTGGACGAATCCTATGATATATGAGGGGCTTGCTCCCGGTTTCTTAATAGCTAAAAGTATATTTATGAAGCTGTTAAGAGTGGCAGGTAGTTCTGGTAGAGGCGGTCCGGCGCGAAGTGCGCACCCGGTGCGTAATTTCTCTCCGGCGTGGCTGCGCACGTGTTTTGATTTGCTCAGGGCTTCACATTCAATAGCGAGCGAGCAGTGCGGTCATAATCTCCCGATTATCCCAAATACACACGGGTAAAGGGCCGTGACGCTAATATCAGATCAAAGTATCCCGTTCTGTGTTTACAGAGGTTTTAAAAATGCTTATTAAAAAGTGCGCACGAGGACCAGAAGGTTTCAGTTTGTGTGGAAGCACATTCCTGCAGCTTAAAATAAAGACATGTACCAGTTTTCAGTTTTTACTCCTCATAATTACGTTCTACATACCTGTATATTTGAATATTTTTTAAATGATAGTAACAAATTCATAATTATAGGGGAATAACACTGATGGATACAACAACTTTTTGTTGTTAAAATGGGGCTAATAAAAATTTAGGCTGTGTTGTAATTTTTTTTTTAGATGTGAATGTATTGGTGATATTCATTCATTCTATGCTGAAGGCTACACCTTCACGATCATCAGTTGTGATCATGAATTTATCTCAGACTTAATCATTAAACCAGACTAAATGTCTCAACTGCGGAGTCTGTAAACATCTCTGCTAATTACTAAGAACAAACTGTTATGTTAATCACACCGAATCTTAGTCATTTAACTCATTGAAGCTCCTTCCCTGTTAATGACAAATAAAATCAGTCCGCAGCTTTAACCTTGTCACTAAACAATGTTGGCTGATCCTCATATCAGCGTGTCCTTGTTATTGCGTGGACCAGTTTATTTCTCATCAGTTTAATGGTCATCAAGCCATTTCAAATCTTATAACCAAAAAAATGTTGAATTACACAGATACTGCAGGCTTTTGATGGAAAACTTTTGCAGACACAAAGTTGGATGAAAATCTAGTATCTTTAAAATCAGTCTGAGGGAGGAGTAAAGTATGCAGGCTGTTTTCTAAGAGCTTTTATATAGAAATAATACTGTTGTTTTCTTGCTGTGGAAAAAAAAAAGATTGATGATAAACAAGTCTTTGCAAAACGGTTTTACTAAAACACCAGACACGTAAGTGTTTTCTTTACATATGATGTATCAAACAATCATTATATTAAAAAAAAAAAAAAATCCTCCTGGATATGTGTTCACCTGTAACACGACATAAAATAAAAGGAACACATGGCAATAACACAGTCAGGTGACAGGACTCAAATAACGTGTATTAGTACAGTACATGAACACATAGCATTGAAAAAGCAAAGTAAACAAAGCACTGCATTTAAATCTAATGCATTATTAAAAAGATACTTGTATCAAAAGTAACAAAAATTCAAAGTCACCTTTAAGCCTAAACATTTGTGAACGAGAGCTGTGCTTAAGCTGTGTGAATGTATATGCAAACATTTTCAGTTACCACAAATACAATGCATGTAGGATCGGTTATATTGGCTTTAAAAAACAAACAAACTTCAAGTTAAAAATAATTGAAAATGACGACACTTCATTTCAGTGGCAGAAATTGAAATGCGCCCTTGTCAAACAAGTCGGTCCACACATGAACACCTCAGCCTGACCCGGGCTGATGCGAGTGCCTCCATGACGCCTGCGTGACCACGTCTTGGTGGAAGTCCTCTGGGATTCATTCACAGGGTTTCACACACACAGAGTCCTCGGTCCAGAGAGGCACACAAGGAAATGCTCCAAAGCACGCGTGACCTTTCAGCAGAGCGGTATTTCAGAGACATCCGCTCTCCCTCCGACAAATGAACGCTTCCAGGATCCACGTCAAGTCCGTACCTCGGAACCCAGATCCCTTCCCCGAGCCTCTTGGGTCTTGTTAAGGAAAACCTGTGACATTTTCCAAATCGACAGGTTGCCTTCGCAAAATACAAATGCAGAAGAAACAAGACTTCAGTCCCCCTCTTCTCCAGTTGCAGTAACGCAACTTTTTATTCCTCTCTGGTTATTTCGAGCCTCGTCGGATTGAGGCTAAGGTGCAACGGAGAGCATACCCCCTTTGATAAACATTGAGTTCCACGTGAACAACAAGTGTTGTTCTCATCTGTCATTGCACAACACTATTCACCCCCCCAGCCTCTTCCTTCTGTAATATACAGAAAAAACACACCATGTAAAGGGTTCCCCTCATTAAAACACATTTCATATGGTCTGCCAACAGAATTTCACAAGTTGGCTTTTTTTCAAAAATGTTTTAACCTCCTAGCAGTCGACGAGGCGCAGAGAAAATGGTCAAACCGACGCAAGCTACGAATAAAAAAAAAAATGCGGCGTTGCCACTGCGTAGTAGACAAGATACTGCATGGCAATAAATACAGAAGATAAATACTTTACATGTACCTGAGCACAGACTCGTAGCACCATTCAGGGAAAGAGCACCAAAGGGACACGGCGGATCTCCTGATGCTCAAAGAAGCCGCCACATTTTAAGGTTTTCATAGTTCTCATAGTGCAAATTCTTTTGTAGTGTGTCGTCACAACATCGTCCCGGCCGTCCCCTCATCCCCTCAGCTGCTGTATTTGACGTTGGCAATGATGCAAGGCTTTGGTAGTGTTGGTGGTTGCTTGGGACCGGGTCTAGAGGAAGGGAGAAGAGTGAAGCAATGTTACGTTTCAGTAAGTGATACCAGCCTCGGCGTTATTTTATTAAATGAATGTGGTAGACGCTTGGGAACTCACCTGTTGGCGTCTGGGACGGGGCGCACGGGCCTGGGCGCGCCAGGTGCCGGTGCGGGGCCACAAACAGGAGAGGGCCTTTGGACCGCAGAGGGACTGCGGACCAGACGCGAGATCCTTGGATCGGCAGGGAGGGGTTTCTGAGGGGGACTGGGCTTCTCCAACTCCTGGCAGACACATGGAAACAAGAACTGAGAATCTCCACCAGGTGGCACTCACAGCTCGGGCCAGCTGTCCTCCTCCTCTCAACTTGCCATGAGAGGAAGAGTCACGTGGTTTTAATCAGAGACTGAGATCACGACTAAGGCCTGCCACCCAGCCCCCATCTGGTCTCCGTTCTCATCCTTCCTCCTATTTGCCTTCGTCTCTACCTCTCAAACATCACAGAGGAACGGAGAGAAACAACCATGCAATCAGATTCAAAACCATTATTCACAAAGCATATTGCTGTTGGTGAAGTCTCTGATGCAGGATATGTCTCTCCTTTGCGTCCTTGAGGTTCAAGTAAGAAGGCAGTCTGCACTATTCAAGTTCAGCTACTAATTCATCTCATTGACAGCCGGGTAGCGTCATGCAATGAGCCAGCTGGAGCTCCATCCTAAAAGTATCAGAGCGATACCAAATGGCAGTGCAGTGAGACGCAGTCAAATCAAAAAGAGCGTGCCCGATCAAGGTGATTTGGCACAAAAGGATATTGAGAAGAACTAAACCCTCCCATTGGACAGTGCAGCAGAAAGCGTCTTCGCTGGGATGAACATGGAAGAGTCCGTCAGCGCCTCGGAGCTGCCAAACAGCTGCCGAAAAGATACTGCCGGTGAATTATGCTGCCAACAGCTTTCGGTTTCACACTTTGACATTGAATCGGAGCAGCCGAGAGGGGGAAATTGACTTCCCTAAGTGTGGAAACGGCGCCAGGAGCTGCTGCACTACACCTGTTATACAGGTGTAAGACGGGCAAGGACCTTGGTGAAACTACATGGAGCTCTTTCTGGAAACGTCTCATTTTCTGCTCTGAAGCAAAGCTCACAGACATATTATGTGTAGAAGCTGTTACCATGACTCACAATGGCCCCTGTCCCTAATAAATAGCGTCAAAAATAATTTAGAAGAGCACTAGAAAAAATGAAAACACATTTATCTGTAAATCTTGAAAGAATCCTATTGTGAAGTCTATTGTGAATCTGCGTAAGTGAAAGGTGTAAATCCTGTTTGCAGTTTTTATTTGAGTCTTGTTTTTATCTTCTATCACCTTTTTCTTCTTTTCACTCTTGAGCTGCAGTAATAAATTATTCGCCCCTGCTGTCGGATCAATGCAGTTTTCATTTAATCTTTATTGTGTCAGGCTCTTTATGGAATGTTGATCCATCCCATCATATACCGTTGCAACAAGTAGTTCCCTCTAGAACACGGTTGTGTTTTGAAGCCAGAGATCCTGTGTGAACCCTCCGTTAAGACTGGAACGTCATTCCTGGTTTGACACCACTATAAATTAGCGTGACCCTGCGGCATCGCTTTGACCTCAGCTCCCGTGCGGCCTAATTTTTGACTGCTGCCCTTTAAAGGCGGATTTTTCATCCCGCAAATATTTATTTTATCTTTCTTTCAGGGCTGCGACTAATTTCTAATCGGCGATAGATCTCCAGTTGTGTTTTTGATTTATCATCGGAAACGTGTCAGAAAATGTAGAAGATTGTTCCACAGGGCACGGTGACATTTTCAGAATGCTCGCTTTCTCAAAACCCCGAAAGACGCTCAATTCCCAAATGATATTAAACTAAAAGCGAGCATATCCAAAATGCCCTGGAAATGCTCGCAGTTTCATTGATTATATTTGATTAATGACTCCCTTTGTCACCCGATCACTTCGCGTTTCAGTTTTTTGGATCCTCTCTCTTTCGCTGGGTCTCAGTTACATCACTTTGCCTACAGGGAGCCAGTCAAACCGGATTAAAGCAAATATAAGTCTGTGAGAATCGCTGAGTGAGAGGGATTTAACACCAGGAAACTTCTGGCTTTCGCTTCCCCTCAACTCTGACAGTCCGCAATGCCATAAACTAAACTCCATGGAATATCAGTGGCAGCAAATTTAATAGCACCCTGCGATATTTGGGGATACTTGCAGGCTCCAGTTGCTGTTTCATCTTCCGTGCCCCCCCCCTCCCACCTCTCCTCCACCCTCCCTCCTCTGCATGTCTGGCTCCATTTTCATTATTTATGTGCTGGTTAATGGAACTGAAGTCTCGCTCCGATGTCGCTAGCTCCCCGGTTAACCTTGTTACTTTATGAGACATCACATTACTGTCAACATGCATATGCTTTTATAGGACACGAAAGAACCGCGAAAGCGGTCGACGTCGTGACACTGCAGGTGCAGCGGACAACATCATCTCCCTGGTTAGGCATCACGGGCTGCGGCGTGCAAAAGCTCACGAGGCAGAGCAAAGCAATTACAGGGAGCAGCATCATCAAAACAAAGTGAGCGAAACAGGAAACCTCGCTCACCATGACCATCCTGCAGGAGTTATGGCGGGACGCGCCGCGGAAGGCCGCCCCCCTCGGTGCGACGTGGGCGTGAGGCGGAGGCAGCGGGGGTCTCGCCAGCCCAGGGCCGGGGGAGAGGGACAAGGTGAGAGACAGGGGGACGGGGTGGCTGAGGTGAACCGGGGGGCACTTTGGCAGTCTGCGCAGGCTGTGGGAGGGGTAAGGGGCCGGTGGGAGCGCCGCCTCTGGACCCCCCCGGTGATGGGGCTGCAGAGAGATGAGAGGGCAGAAGCAGAAGAGTCAAGGCGAGAGTCGACAAAGCTCCCCTTAGCTGTCCGATCGCAGCGGAAGAGGAACGCTGCCTGGCTTCATGCACAGGTGGACCCTGCTAAAGAGCCCCATTAAATAAAGGGTTAGTTTTCCTGGTATTTATACCTGGCCAGATGTGTGCGCAACTCAAAAAGACACAATGCGTACGACACGCGGTTTAACGCAGCTTCCGACAACTGGAAAATGAGCTCAGTTGCACTGTTCTTACATCAAACAGCCTTACATCCTTTCTCGTCTTAATCTTAAATGAAAACCACATGCCCCTAACTGAAAACACGGATCTGGTGGTAATGCGCAGCATATTGCCTCTCTGCCGTGTGGCAACCCCCCGCAGCGCAAATGTCGATTCTGACCTCGCTCCTCTTATTTCAGCAACCCCCCCCCTCCTCGACTCAATCGATCAAAGGTCTCTTCCCATTACCGAGCGCGTGTCAGGACAGTTAAGGAATACTTTGCTGTAGACACACAGGTATTTACCGCTGAAAAGTAATTCTGCACTGGCTTTTCGTATGTCAGCATCCTTCATGGGACAAGCGGGCGGATCAATCAATCTCTCTCTTACAAGAAAATGTGTTGCGATCACGCCGCTCACCACGGACTCACTTGTCTCCCACATGTCCACCTGGAGTGGGACGGTTTAAATTGAATTTGAGCTGCCGCCTTGTGTTGAAAAGCACACGTCGATCCCGACGAGAAATGTTCCCGCTGCGGCCTTCCAGGGAGAATATTCTCCAGCGCGTGTTGGTAGTCAGACACTGAGCAGAGGTCCATCTGCAGGGGATGAACATCCGCGTGTGTTTGTGACAGGCGAGTGACGACGTGCCAGCTACTGACCTTGAAGATGGCGGCGCTGGGGGGCAGAGGCGGGGCCGGACGCGACGGAGACGCGCTCAGCGACTGAGGCGGGTTCGTCGCCGATCGGCTGCTGATTGCGGCGCTCACTGATCTGGAATTTAAAGAGGAAATTAACTGTAATCACACGGTTTATTATCCTGATCATACATCAGTTACAATGGTAATGGATTTCAAATTGTTGAATTAAAAATAACTACACACAGCTGTTATAAAAAGTGTTACCAGTCAGCAGAATCGGTCGCAGATGTTTTTCTATTTACAAAATGCCATTACATGACAAATAAAGTTAATAAATCATTTTCTGACAAAGCACCTGAGCTTCTCAATTGGGTCCTTTTTACTGGTGAAGAGCAGGTCCACGAGAGCTTTCCTCTTGATGGCGATGATCAGACCAGCTCCCAGCACGGCGAGGAGAGCCACCACGACGCCCGCGGTCAGATTCCCGCTGTCTGTCACATAACAGGTGGTCACGTGAGAAAAAGGTCTCCAGAAACTGCGCAGTCAACATTTCTGCAGACTTGTCCATTTATGTTCACGGTAAATGTTGGGATGTCTGGCCGTACATTTCATACAAACAATCTGTGTTGGAGTGGGGACTGTTGACTCACTTGCTAATCTGATGGGGCCACTGTCCACACTCCCTCCCAAACCGGCCTTGTCACAGAAGGGAGGGGCCCAATGAGCCTCGCAGTGACAGTTCTTGTTGTTGTTGCACACCTGCAGAATATTAAAAAAAGGAGAATAAACTGTGAGATTAAGGCAATCTGTTTATTTGACTATTTGCCTACACTTAATGTCGCAGTATGCAGCGGGGCTTTTCGCTTAAACTGACACTGAACTGCACAGGTAAATGATTAAACAATTAACAAAACCAATGTTGTTTCACCACTTGGCACAGCATTCAACAAACACCCCTGATGCAGATGTGCTGCATGGGGTAAAGCTCACCACCAGCCAGCACTACTAGGCTCCATATGGCAAAGATTAAAAACATGTTGCCTCATTCCACATACTTTTATCTCTCTCCCTTTTCTTCCTGCCCTGCAGGGTGGAGGAATAGTACCGTCTAAGAGGATTCCCCAGCGTGGTAATGTAGAGCAGGTGAGGGCAACATCTTGATCTAATCCGTCTCCTTGAAGAGCAACATCCGTTTATTTGTGGGAGTGAAACAGTCCTTAAGAGTTTTATAGATATTTCTTAATTGGAACAAGACAAATGAATGTGACCGTGTATAATAGCTGCAGAGGTTTCGTTTTAAGAGTCATTAAAAACGTTTTCGTTCCTCCATAGCGTTGTAGAAACTTTACCAGTCACAGACAAAAGCCTCTGGGACCTCCCGGTGGATTTAAGGGCAATATCACACATTGTTCATCTTAAACAGGACCACCCGCAGACATTTGATGGGCTGCATTATTTTTTTAAAAGCCAATATCCATGCCCCAAGTCAAACTGCGTGTCATTGCCGTCAGCAGTAGGCCAAGTAAAGCCTGGCCTTCAGATTTCAACACAGATTTGGGGACAAGGACGAATGGGCGCGAGTATGATGAATGGCATTCAAAACCGAGCCTAAATGAAGCCATTACATTTAATTGATTGAGCCTTTCAGCATCCAGAATGATTGATTGCCAGGCATTGTAATGGTTCCCTATCCGCTGTGTACATGGTATTTTATTTAAAACACATTACGGCCAAAATGAGCTTCTGTGTGAGGGAGCGATGGGATATTAAGAAAACAACAGGGATTACGTTGAGTTAGACGGCTGCCACATCAGCTCCTCACGTCTCTAAAATAGCATGAAATGTTCTGAACTCACCCCTCGACTGCTGCACTTGGCTGCGCACGCGTGCACGCCGAAGACACTGACGTTCTGGCACTGACGATTCAGACACATCTGAAGCAGACAAAGACATAAAAAATTGACAACGTGAGCTCAAGGAGCAGATTCAGTCATACTCTAAAACAATTCATCTATTAAGGAGAAGAGATGTGACGCGCGGGGGGTTCTTTTAATTCACTACTGGCAAAGACATGGCATGAAATATGATGAAGTAAACACTGGGATTTTCTTCAATAGTACGCGTTTTATTAAGGCGCCACGCCCAAATGTGCATCCAGGCTCCACGTGAAGAAGAACTTGGCAGCGCTTGACAGATGAGGGCAGAGGTTGGATCCTCTTTCATGGTGGAGGCCAAAAACAAAAGTAATTTTAGACTAAATGGAGCCACTGTATCATTAAGGCGGTGACCAATGTCTAAATTGATGAGCATTTAAAGATTCCCTACAGACTCAATAATGGTAAGTCGATTAAGCGCGTGAGCCCGTGCTGGTCTGAACTGGCGAGATGACACACCCTGAACAACCTCTTAGAAAGTTGGTCGTGGCCGGTCACTCAATCAATTAAAAATCACTTTTAACCTCTCCTGTTTTACAGCAACATATCTGAATTGGGTTTTATAGATGGGTACCATTATTATTAGGGGGTAAACTTATTCAAAAGTTTGACTTTTCTCTGCTCATTTTTCTGAGCCGATGAGTCATTTAACTGCGTACCTACAGGCAGGCTAGTACTGAACTAATAATTGATTTGTAGCACTGAGGACCAAAAATGAAAAAAGCAACAAATATATCCAAATAATTATATAAAAAGGCCCAAATAATTGATTTGATTTGAGACTTTTTGACTGATATATTCAAGCAAATGTATTTTTACTGGGTTTTTCGTTTCTTACTATATACATGTATGATGTTATTTGTAACTTTGCCAATAATATCAAGTAACGGGAAATGAAATGTGTACAGGTACCTTCATATTGCACGTGAGTAGATGTACTCCACTGTTTCCATCAGTGCTAATGAACCTGTTGTACAGTGGATGGATTTGTGTGTTTATTGTGACTGTATTTAAGGCCTCAGCTCTCACCAGTCCATCTCCGCACTTGGTCCCAGTCAGGACCAGGCCGGGGTCGGGCATGTCATCGCCCAAGTACACGTGTGTGCCTCGGCACAGTATCCTTTTTCCTTCCTGCATGGGGATGTTTGTCTCTATGGAAACAGCGTTGGTACCAATTACCGGGCGGTTAGCTCCTCCTTGACACTGGATTTTGCCACATTTAGCATCTCTGTAAACAGGGAGAATAACATTATGATTGAATAACATGTCACTGTTTTCCAAATGTGGACAGATGCAATTATTGAGCATTTCTGTTCATTTCTCCCGCTCTTGTGTTTCATTTAGAAAAAGTGGAGGAGCCGCAGTTTGTTTGGGCTGTTTTAGACCCCAAGCTGAAAAATGTATTTTACATTTCACCAAGTGACTCCGAAACCTTCAATTAGGGCTGCAACTGCTGAGTATTCTCATTGTTTGATTTGTGTGTTATTTTTCCTTATCATTAAAAGTCTGTAAAATATGTGAAAAGTTATGAGGACAGCACAGAACTTTAAAAGGCCTGACCTTCCAATTACTTACGTACTATTATAAACCAATTTGCAATTTATAGCTCTATAATCCTGGGAAAAGGCAGCCCGTCCCATTTTAGAGGATGGGACCAGTTTTTATTCATCAAATTGGTTTTGTTTTCAGCTTCAGCAGACAATGGACAGTTGACTTAATGTGACTTTGTTTTCCCACTTAAGAACATAGACATAAAACATGTAGTTGATGATATATGAATTCTAAATATTTCATTTGGTATAGGACTGCAGAAAATAAGAGCGAGAGAGGGGTATGACATGCAATAAAGGTCGTTATTAAGCATGCTGTATCAACTGATTTCGTATTCACTGGTTTCTATGGTAACGTCAAATCCTACCGTGCTTCACATTTGGCAAAGGAGCCTCTGGAGTCCTTGCCACAGTTGCCATAGGGGTCTCCTGCCGAGTTGACCCTTTGAAAGCAGACGCCCGGAGCCGGCTTCGCTCCTGCAAAAACACAACGCATCGAAAAAGTTGCCGATCGTCCCTGAGCCGTTCGCTGCGAAGCCGGCGAAGGGGAGCCTTTCCCGTACCTTGTCCCCACAGTGTGATGCATTGCTGCTCGTGAGTCTGGCACACGCCGTTGTAACAGTAGCCGTCTACGTTATGGCAGGCGTGGCCGTCATGCAGGTAGACGTTGGAGGGGCAGTGAGGGCTGCTGCCGGTGCAGAACTCCGGCAGATCACAAGAGTTACTGGATTCGCGGCATGGAGTGCCTGCTGGCTTGAGCTGCACTCAAATGTACACGGCAAGCAGCAGTCATTGGGAAAAAGACAGAGAGGAGAGCTGAGACGAATATATGTTGAGCTTTGTATGAAGACGGCCGTTAAAAAAGTAGACAATATCGTGGCTGGCGTGTCAGAACACGTCATACCTGGCAGTCCTGGCAGCACTGTCCGTGAGCACAAACAGCATCGCCCTTCAGAGTGCAGGTGGAAGCGTTGCAGCAGGGATTCATACATTCCTTTAGATGGAGAATAATGCAGAAAGAGGACAGGCAAAGAAAAGGGATGTTAGTAAAAGCAGAGAATAATTTACCAGGCAAAAGATATCACATTTCCCCTCAGAGCAAACGCTCAGTCTTTGTTATCAGAGAGGACGCAGCCTGAGCGCGACCGAATTCAGCAACAACTAAGGGACCTGGCAGAAGAAAGCAAACAGTTTCTGGTTCTTTTAAAAAAAAGAAAACATCTGAGAGGACTTAAAAACTCATTTAGGTCCATGGAAGGTTGGTTATGAAGAAAGAAAAAGACAATATACAAAGAACTCACCGAACTAAAGTCAACATACAAGCAAAATGTTGCCATAACATTGGACACTATCAGTCTGTGAGAGAGAGAGTTATACATTTATTTGTACTGCAACGTGACGTTTCCCACCTCACGACCTGTGCTGAAATGAGGCAACGCGCAATAAATACGTCAGCTGCATGTCTCACTGCGTATGTAGGATCTGACACAGAGGCAGGCTGAGCTCCCCCCTCTCGCCTCCACGCATCCTGGCTGAACACATTCAGCCGAGTGCAGCGAGAGTCAAGAGGAAGTAGGTGGACGACGGAGCTGGCAGACGTCAAAGCTGACACGACGGGCCTCCCAGAACTCTTTTCAGCTATGCGATCCATTAAAGGCGGGCAATTCCCATGATCCCCGGGGCCAAAGGCGGCAGAATTGTGCTGAAAAGAAGTAGGCCGTGATTGTGGGGGGGGGTGGGAGCTGGAAGGGACCCGGGCTCTTTAACGAGGCTCCTCAGTGGTTGGAAAAAGGTGCCGTCTGAGAGCTCTGACAGTTCATTGTTCTCTTTTAGGACAAGGCCACTTTCAGCCTGGCATCCACAGCTTACAAAAAGACTCACTGGGCATTACGGTGTGAACATACCGCCAGAGACAACTAGGCATTCTCTCACGTAGGCCATTGCATAATTAAAAACATCGTTCCAAATCATTGCAGATGCCTCCTTCATATCTCATAATTTGGTTTATTGTCAGCGTGCTCCTACTGATTGTCAGCTGCATCGTGATTAACAGTCGTATCACCCCACAGTCGCAGCAGTTAGCGACGTGTGCCGGCATCGCACATGTGCGCGTCGTGCAGAATCATTTAAATAATTCACCGTCTGAGCTGTCGGCGATCTTCCCTCCCAGCGAATTGTACCACAATCAGACGAGCCTCCACGTAAACACTTGTTCAGTGCAGAGAATGAAAAGATCAACCGTCATATCTCAGAGCTCATTTACTCATACAGAGTATGTTTGAATTAAGAGAGCTCTGCGGCGTTATTTGTTTGTACATCGGGGGAATGTTGGCCCGTGTCGCGCTTCCGTCAGAAAAGCTGCAGAAAACGACACTTAGTGCAGCAGCTTATTTCATCTTTCAAATGCAGGGTGCATAATTAACAATGATTCATGGGTGGCATAAAGAGATCCAGAGAGGGTATAAAACAAGAACGCTGAGGCATTGCAGGAGGTCCGTCTAGCACTCTTACCTCGAGCTCTCCGCAGTCACACTCCTCTCCCTCCTCCACGTAGCCGTTGCCACATTTCTGCCCCCCGTAGAGCACCTTGACCTCGGGCATGTTGAACAGACACATCCCGACGCCTTTTTCGAAACTGGCTGTGAGGTCCTTCTTGCTGCAGCTGCTGAACACCGTGGGGAACGGATAGCTGTCGGGGGGGGGGGAGAAGAAATGTTTTGTGAGTGACAAAAAAAAAAAAAAAAAGAGCGGGAGGAGGAGGAGGACGACGAAGATTGAGATTCCACCCTCGAGGGCCCTCCTCAGTCTGATGTAATCAGGGCTAATTGCCACTAATCACAGAATCAATTAACCACGAGAGCTCGGCAAACCTCTCCAAAGCCCCATTAGCATGCGAACGGCACAGGGCCCCAGTGACGGCTCGCTCCACGGAGAGACGGGGATCTGATAAGGAATGCTTTATGAGACCAGGGATCACAAAAACTCAAACAAAAAAAAGTGCGTAATACCAATAAATCGGGAAAGAAACGGGGATGGTGTGTTTTTAATATTGCTTTTGGAGCGGACAGAGAGGGTGGTCCTCTCTGTGGGGAAAGCTCACAGCGCCAGAGCTCTATCTGCCAAAAGCCTCATGTGGCTTTATTTCTCTGATAATGTAGTGCCTTGGATAACCGTGTGAAGTGTGCGTGAATATGTGCAGACTGCATCTTGTGAGTCACTTAAAGGCCAAAATGTTTCTTTCAATGGGCGCAACACACTCAAAAGCCGGAAGTCAAACCCGGATGTTTCAAAGGCATTTACACATTCAGTGCATTGTGCGTTTTTGGAAAATGACATCGAGGGACGTTTTCTAGTTAGCTTGTGAAAGTGTGTCTGATTTGGAAAGCGAGTGATTGAAACAACAGCAAACATGTCACAGTTGGTCGCACAGACGCAATTTTTCAACAAGCATATTTGTGGAGGAGCTGCGGCGCTGCTATCTCAACGGGAGGTAGCAGGGCTTTGTCGTGAAGGAGCGAAGGATGCAGCTCGTGGACGTGTTTCCCTGACTGACGCATGAGTTTGAATGTGGCGTCAAGCTGTAAGGCAGAGCCTCGGAGGTCAGACCCACTGCACTGACCCTGGAGCTGTGAAAAAGCCACTCAGGCTTTTCACATCAGACAAGGAGGCATTTCTGTGGGGTTTTTTCTCTGACACGTCTAATCAGCCTCTAAACAAGTCACGACACTCGGTGAATGTTTCGACGTGACCTCATTCTCTCCTTGCATTTGATTCCTACCACGTGTGGAGGCAGCTTTCATCAGCTGCCCCCCCCCCCAAACACACAACTCACCGTTCTCTAACGTCAATACCACCCGGAGGTTGTGTTAGGAGAAAGTGGGTTACCTCGCAGCAGATCTCTGCCCTCTCTGGATTAAAGCAAAAGATCAGAGTGGGTTTTGTAAGGACATGAAATGGCAAAAGGAAAAGAGCAATGAGGAACGCTGAGCCATCATCGCGCCCTCTTTTCGCCTTCCTCCCCGCTGAGCACCTCGGGGGAATCGGACCGTTGAGGAACGACTTTCAGGGCTGCTGCTCAACGGGGCGGATTGATTTCTCAGCCCCCTCACCCCCCGGCCGAATCCGCTCGCCCAAGTTGTTTGTTCGGCCGCGTTCATTGCGTTTCCATGACTCCTCAGCCCTGTTCTTCAGTTACCAGCCCCAGCAATCCATGACCGACCCCTCACGTCCCCGACATCCGCGAGCGGCTCGGGATGCAGCCGTTCTTTACGAGTGCAGGAATAATTGCTCTGCCTGTAATGGTGTGGGGAAGGCGGGAGCAACGTCTGCGCGAAGGCTGAATTGCAGTGAATGGCATTTAGCAGCTGCGGGCCGCGGGGGCATGTGGACTAGTGACGGCGGGCACATCTGGGGCTCACGGCGGGCTAAAGAGACACTCTAGACAGCCACTCATCCCGTGGGCGTCTGGTCCACGAGCTCAAAAGAAAAGACCGGCCTTGTTCTCATTCTCCTCTGGCGTCCACAAAGGACGGCTCGTGCTCGACACCTCCAGCCCGGTCTCCATGTTTTGTTTCCGTCCCTTACTGCTGCTTTTGTTTCACATCTGGTCCCGCTCCAGCTCTATTATGGGATCAATTGTTCTTTGTTTGCCTGTGTTCTTTTGTTCGATGTTGGACGGTTTGCTCCTGAGGTCCGGAGGTACTGCAGTTGATGGTTGACAGAGTGCACGAAGCGCTCGCCTTAACCGCGCCGCGGCAACGGGCAGACAAAGCTTAAATGGATCTGTGGGAGGTCGGGTGACAGGGAATTATTCCCAGATCTATTACAGGCCTCAACAATCTGACACACACTGCGGTAATGCTACAGCGCTGACGGCTTTCAAACATGTTCTCATTTCTCTCCTTTGACAAGGGGGTAGATGAACTGTGACAGGAAACCCAAATGTTTGTGGAGAGAATAGATCGACAGTAAAGACTTACAAAAAGGAAGAAAGGGTATCGGAGATTTACAACCAAAATCTATGATGTATCGGCTCGGTTTCTTCCATCAGTCTCTATTTTGTGCAGCGCCGTGCTGTTTGTCTGAGCTGTCAAATTGAATAGAATCTCATTGGCCAGAGATCCAGAAAAGCTGCAACGCGTATATATCAAACCTCCTGCATTTTCTAATCACTTTCTAGTACAGTTGTGTAGTTAATGAACAGCTTTCAGAATGGGAACCTAAAAAAACATTTTTAAGGGTCCAAGATGATGAAAGAAAAAATTAATTTGAAAGCAGAAATGACAAAAAGAACTTCAAAAGAAATGGCCTATCTCTTGTTATAAGGGCAGCGTGTAGCATCTGCATCTAGCAGTGAGGCTGCAGGATGCAACCGATGAAAGCGGTTAGCGTGTCCTAAGCGTGTTGGAGAAGTACAATAGTGCTTGTTCGATCTGGGCTACTATAAAAAGAAAAAGAAAAAATATTATTCACATTATTTTCCATTTCTGCCAAGAGATCCCCCTAAAAGTCGTACCTTTGAATGTTGCGTGACCAGCACATGAAGGTAGGACTCATAACGTCTATCATTTTGTTGCACAAAAGCAATTAGAACGATTTAACACAAATTGAGCTGAGCAGGTGTCTCTCCTCCCTGCCGATCTGTCCTTGCGGTTCGGAGGCAGGATAAATCCAGCACACCCTTCACAACCAGCTTGTCTTTTCAGCCATAAAACACCGATTAGCCAATGAATCACATCTCCCAAAACTATTCCCGCCATCCCTGAGAAGATTTTTAGTGAAAAATAAAAAATCTGCAAATACTGATTTTGACGCGATCTGCATTCGGCTCTCTTAGTTTTATTACATTTGGTGAGACGGTGGTGTTCTGGCACGAATACAAGTTATTTCAAAGCTGACTGTGACAACTGTAACTATGACAAATATTTCACGCTTGCTTAGGTAATTCAAAACGACAAGTAACTACACTACACGTTTCATATTAATTGCATGGCTTTCTCTGATGTACATGCTAAACTCGGGGCGATGACATCAGGTGGTATGATCTGTTGAGGCCTTCGGTGTCTGGCAGTCTGACCTAGGTTGTCTGTACCGAATAGCATTTTCACATTGATTTCCCCATGGACCCAATTAAACAAGGCATACTAGCAGGTTCCTGTTTTTCACTATGGCACGGGTCACATTTCCTCGGCTTCCCCGTGGACTTTGACTTACATTCTGTGATTCCTGATTATTTTATGACGAGGGAAACATATCCATCTCGCTCCCGGCAGTCATCATGTCACTAAGGGCCTGACCTGTGCGAGAATGAATCCTCACCTAACTGTGTATCGTGTGGTCTTTCTGTCCATTGACATCCAGGTTTGTGTGACTGACTGACAAGTGCCTCTACGTTTAATTTCATAGGAACATAAATATCAGCACTTACATTTGGATCACACAGTAATAAACTAAACCATGCTGCAAGATGTCTGCGCAATCTGAAGAAAGAATTTGCAATTTGTGTCCCTTAATATCTAAAATCTTGTACCCTGGTAATGTGATGCTTTACTTTGTTGCTGAATGAACTAATCTACAGAATAAACAAGTGAAAAGGACCCAGCACAGATCCATGTGGAGTTTCTGTTTAATCTTTAAGATGCAAAATGCATATGTCTGTGCATCGAGTAACCAGCTGCAGCTCAGTTGGGACACTTTTCAATGTCGATACACACAAGTGTCGAAGACAAGGACGAAGCCACCAGCAGCTTCTCATTTAAAGCTAATGGGGGGATAGTGGACAACTGACCGTGACCGATGCTTGCAGGAAACAAGCAGTGCTCAGTGCAGATGTGCAGCTGGCAACGAGACAACTTGTAGTTTTACCCCGCTCGCTGCCTACACCTAAACCCCCCCAGTTAATCATGATGAACTGGATCCCATTATCTCCAGCAGCAAGGCAACAAAGAGCTTAATGGGTATCTGACTTCAAATATCAGCCAATAAAGACATTCTAAGCACTCTACGTTATTGAAATGAAAGATCATTAAAAAAAAAAAAAAGCAAAACAAAACTATTTGTACTGGATGTTGTTCAGTCAGCCAGTATTTCCAGTTATGAAATGCAAGGGCTGTGGGACCTGGGAGGGGCTTGAGTTGGGCTCATGGGAGACGCAGTGCCGCCTCAGGCGGCGCGTACGCCGCTGACCTAGAATTGACTGAGGAAGCGAGATGAGGCAATACGGAGTTCCTAAACATTCTTATTCAAATGTATTGCTTCCTTAATCCCGGATTAAACAGCAGAGCCGCAATATGGAGCAATAAGGAGGGTTAGAGGGGATTATTTTGAAACCAAGATCAGTTCTTTTGTCAGATGGAATGACAAAAAAATGCAATATTCATGTCTTGTATATATCTTACTCGTGTTGTGTGTTGTTAAAAATTTTGATTCACATTTTGAGGAAGTTGTCACTTCTACGTTGGACTTCAGATCGAGATATTTTAAGGGAGAGGTGAGTTTCCCCAGTTTCCAGAGGTACTAAACTATTTATTAGAACTTGCAGAGAGATTTTTCAACATTAAAGTTGCATGTATGTCAAAGAATGGAAAAAACTCTAACTGGCTATGCATAAGGAAAAAGGGAGGGAGCCAGAAGAAATAGAAAGAAAGAAGCATTACTTGCTCTTTTATGTTGATCTTATTGCCAATTTTAGGATAAAGTCCTTGGCCAGGAACACCCTCAATCAGGGTTAAATATAAATATACTTCCCCCATTCCACTAGACCTTGAGCTGGAACTGATACCCGATGATTCCACCAAAAACATCCCTATCCATCTGCTCGGCTTGCCACAAGATATTGAATATTACATCCACAACTACTATACAACAAATATATCTCTATCTTAACGTGTTCTTAGATGTGTCTGGGTAAATAAAACTGTGCTCATGTGTTCATACCCTGCCAGTGAACCGTTGTCTTTCCTTTGACAAAGAGTCACGTTGCTTCGGGGGCATCAGCACAGCTGTTGAATCTGCCATAAACCCAACAGCCCAACAGCATTATTTGTTTACTGTTGTGTTGACAATTAATTATAAATGGGCAGCAAGTGGAATGCTATTTTAAATATGATCACAATCTGGGCTTTTCAGAACGACACACGACCTATCGTGAAGATCTATTTACTTTTAATTGTCAGGATAGAAGCAGCGACTTACCCCGTAGAGGGAGTCATGATGCAGCCTCCCCGATCCACGGTCACCCTGCAGCCACACCCCCTCTCTGGGGTGTCGTGGTTCATCCCAAAGTTGTGTCCGAGTTCGTGGGCCAGAGTGACCGCGGCCCCTATGGGGTTGTCTGAATGGTCCTGCAAAGAAAAACATGCATCAATGATACAGGAGCGGAATTTTCCCAACGCCTCTTACTATTTCATGCATCTGATTTATCGAGTCTAAAGATGGACATAATATCACGAGCATCGTTTCACAATTCAATGTGTTCCGTTCCAATGTAGCTAATTAAAATAATACGTTTCTGATTAAATATTTGGAGGGAAATAACAAATAATTAAACATGTCATGCTCGCCAAATTGTTATTCCCAGCAGGACCCATTGGAAACATTACCCCAAACTAGTGACTATAATTGCATATTGCCAGGATTAAACAAACAATGCTGTTGGATCTGTGCTTATCAGAGCGTTTCCTCTGCTTGACGTTGTGGCAACGAGATTTGAAACTTTGCAAACTCTGAAACAGCCAGATGTGCTGCCTCCTCCACACACACACAAACACCTTGACCCTCCTCAGAGAAAAAACAGCCAAACGGTTTTAAAGACTGAGAAAAACTCTCTGAGGACGGCGTGAGAATCGCACAGCCCCGGCAGAGATAACAGAAATTAGAAACAGACAGTGCCAGAGGACGCGCGGTGGAGATGAAGCTACGGTGACAGAGCGGGTGAGCCGTGTCGGCTGAGGTGCCAGTGTTTCCTGCGAGGTGTGTAAAACATGAACACGGTGAGGCAGGATAAATAATGTAGCGGCGGCGGCTACCGGCTCTTTGTGGGTGCGGAGCCGTGCGTCAGAGCACCGTGCCTCTGGAGCATTATTCGGCGGTGCTGTGCGAGTCCAGTCTCAGACTGATGAAGTGCTCTGCTGGGGGCTTTTTTGAGAGCAACCGCCATCGACCGTCTGCGCTCGCAGCTGCGCGCCCCCCCCCGATTGAGGCGAAGAAAAACCCTCGTATTCTGTTTCCTGGAACCAAAAGGCCCCTCTCCGCTGATTGAGGAGGGTGAAATGCTCGCTGCGGACCGCCGTCTGCGTTCTGGATCGCCGAACCGTTGAAATGAATGTAGCGTTTGGGTCTGGTAGATTTACCAGATGCTTTGAGGATGGATGGTAAAGATTTTACTGCCTAGAAACATAACAATGAGACCACGGGAGAGGTTCGCTAATGAGCTCCAAAGTACTTGGTAAACGGAGGGAGACAACCGAGAGGACGGGCTCGCCATTTGCCCAGCAGAAGAGTCTGCGGTTGAAGGTTAATCATTCATGTCTCCGACATGATGTAGGTACACATGTAGAGCTCTGTCATAACGGCCGAGTCGCGACTTTACCATCTGGGATGACGAGAGTGAAGAACCATCTGGGGACTATAGCTGTAAACCCGACCACCAGCCGGCCAGGCAACAACACCAACAGCCAGTCAGGGACATCGAGTATGCAATAATAGCATGACTTGCCCTAATGTGACATGACTGGAGGTCATAGTATAGGGTTGCAGCTCGTTACGGGGTGATCATACATGCTGCACCCTTAAATCCCCTTAAATCCTCTCATTTCTTGCACCTCTTTAGGAAGCAATGGTTTCCACTCGCGTATTCCATACACACTCTGATTTGTCAGCACTAAGTGAAGGGTACTATGCACACAAACTGGGCCTTCCTGGAAAAAAAAAAAACAGCTCAATGATATGTGTGCCCTGAAGTTAATGCAACTTAATATCAACTCTGGAGTCCTCAGCTCAACTCGTGCACAAGAAGCCGAGGGGAGAAATATGAGAGTATTATGTCAGACAGGAGGGAGGGGGGAGAGTCAGGCAAAGAACGAGGGGCGGCATGCGGGAAATGATAAAATAAGCCCCGTCTTAAATATGTATTCGGATTAAAGACATTTGAGCACCCGTACCTACATTCTGTGGGACACAGGTCTACGTTAAACATACCATGACGATTCCTCCCGACTGCTCGGCCGTGCACATGCTCATGATGGGGGCCATACCAATGGTGGTGCCCTGGAAATAGACCCCACTACAGAGAGCAAAACAGAGGGTCACCGCATCATTAGTCTTGCATAGCAGGACCAATCTGCGCTGCGTCAGCACCGAGGAAAGGCCCGGCTCCAGACATTATCACATCGGTGCAGAGGAAAGGACTTGGCTGTATTTATTTAAACCAGTCCCAATTTCCCTGCCCTTGCAAAATAGATAGAAGAAGGCAGGGAGAATGGTGATACACGGCCGTGGACAGACTGTAAAAACACCCAGTCGAAATCCGCCGAGTTAGACTTCCACCTCATAAAAGCACAGGAAACACTACCAAAGACAAACAATTTTCAATAAAATCAGGAATTCCAAATAAAAACTTTTGCTATGGATGCTGCAGAAGCAGACCGACCTGATTAGCTGGGCGTTGTCGTGAGGCTTCGTGGGCAGGAGCTTGACCTTCCTCCAGTCCAGGAACTCATGCAGGGTGGTGAAGGGGTCCTGGGTGATGGGACACTTGTCCACATCGCTCCATACCTCCAGTCCCACCAGGGCAACGCGGATATTCAGAGCCCGGTAGAACTGAGAGAGAAGGGGAGCGAGACGTGTGTTCAGATTAAGGGCGTATCATCCGTCTCTCTTACAGATTCTGTTCTTTATACATTGCTTATTAAAGGAGCAGTGAGTACTAGATCGTAATAAACCTGCGCTCATTTGACCCTTTCCAAGAGTGTCTGAGAACTATGTTGTTAAAACCTGAAGGGCCATCAATGAAAACACAAGAAATGTGCAGATTCAAGTGGTTATGCACAAATCAAAAGATAATAATGAAGATTATATTCCATGTCTGCCAATCCATCGGCCAGAATCCTTCACACTGGTCCTCTGAAACAGAAATACTACTCACATACTCGCTAAATAATGATGGGGGGCTCTCGACACATCCTTAAACTTGAATCAACATATGACTTTCCGTATGAATAAATAATGTTTGGGCAGCTTCTGTTCTCCTCCCAACATCACTCGAGTTGTGGAATTGGTCTTCCATTCATAACCCAATCAGCGAGTCGATTAATTCTCCGGAAGCTCGATGCGACCTCTGATAAGTCAGACGCCCCCCCACGCCGCGTCCCCTCTGTTGATTTGATTGTTACCTTGTCCACGTAATTGGCGATCTCAGCCAGTCGCTGCTTGACCTTCTCCATGTCCTTGCCTTGCTTCTGAAACTGAACGACGGCAGCCGGCGGGAAAACAAAAGCAAGGGGAGAAAAAGAGTTGAGCAACCCGATGGAAAGAGGGGCAGCCATGCGCGTGACCTTTGACCTCTGCTTACCTCTCTGTTGTCAGCCACAATGATCAGCTCCACGTACTTGGTCGTAGTCTGGACGTGGCGTTTATGCTGCGAGAGGCGGGGGAGAAGGGTGGTGACAGGGCAATAAGAGGCGGCGGATGCGTGAGGAAATAGAAGGTGGTAATGAAAATGTGATAAACCAACAGATGAAGAGAAATGAGGAGGAGGAGGAGGGAGAGGTGAGGGTTGAGAGCGAGAAGAACAAGGACATTGGGAGGGAACACTTAACGGCAGCTTGCTGGAAAGTGCAGCCTGCTTTTAGTAGCTTTTGCCACTCGGTCTCCCCTTTTTACCTGAACTTTCATTCCACACAAAAGGCAGCAGAAGCGGCATCAGAACAAAGCCGTTGGCTGCACTTCAAATCTGACCCGCCGAGAGCTGCTAAGGTCACACGTATCTGCGCTAAACACTTTTGCAGGATATTAACTAATAAATCACAGTTTTTGAACAATGCTGCCTGCACTGTTGGCAGAGCGCAGTGTGGACCACTACCCTCCACTTTATTTCCAATATTCAAAGAGCACGGGACATGCCCAAAGTGGATTTATGTGACAACTGCACAGCACACAAAGTGGTGCATGGGCGAGTGAGCCTGCGTCCAAAAAGAAGCACACTCTATAAAGAGCTTTAATAAGGAGTTCCTATATTGTGGCGCGGTCAAAGATTGTTCCACACTTGGAATCCTAGACCACAAGTACAGTGCTTTTTTTTTTTTCATACGCAGTGAACGAAACGTATCGAAGAGTGTTTGCAGGCTCACATTCGTTAAGTAGCACCACATGCAAAGAACCCAGCAGAATGTTTTGTATTTTCACAGACGGAATACTGGAAGAGTAAACGAAGGTCTTAACCAATTGACAGATGGGCGGCCTACAACACAACAACTGGAAACAATTTTAACAAGGTATAGATTAAAGAGTTTAAAAAAAGAGGCATGGAGATGTATGAAGTGTTTTTGGAGCTCTTCCAAAAACACACAAACACCCCCCCTGTGTGTGTGTGTGTGTGTGTGTGTGTGTGTGTGTGTGTGTGTGTGTGTGTGTGTGTGTGTGTGTGTGTGTGTGAGAAGCCACTCACTACACCACATGAGCGATTGTCCGTCTCACCCTGCGAACACACACACACACACACACACAGATACTAGACTATCCTGCCGGCTAAGTGTTCTGCCTTCCCGCTATGGCCCACTTTCAACCTGAGCCTCTTTATCCGTGCTGGCCTGGCAGCCTGGATCCTCTCTGCTCTTATCTGCCTCCTCCATAGATAAGCAATGATGGGCAAGTGTGCTCTCGCTGCGGCCTGCGGTGATTATCAAGTCTCTGGGAGGCCACGGGAAGGGAGGCAGACACACACGAGAACAATGTTCAATCAACTCAGCAAAGAGGAGCCTCCCACGTCGTGAACGGAATCCGATGATTCGGAGGTATAGATGGTGAATTAACACTTTTTTTCTTTGTCGCTATTGAATTCCGACTGCCACCGGTGAATCGAAAACGTCGGTCGCTGCATCCACTTCAGTCATTGTACATGAGAAACTGTTAAAATATCATCAAATATGTCCAACAATAACACTAATATTCTCCCTCATCTCCCCTCCGCTCCTGTCTTACATCGAATGAAGCCGGAAAAAAAAGAGGCCAGCGTTCTTTTAGAACTCGGTGAAGAGAATTTAAGACCAGCTTACTGGAACTTTTGAGCACATCGCTTCATGGTCCTCACGAAGCAAACGGAGCTGGCTCGCGATTCGTATGTATCGAAAGTGCACTTTTAAATGCACATGGAACCCGCTGAAGACGAACCGCACTTCCTCCCAGCCGGCCGTCACATCTTCCCCGCACGTCTCTACGCCATCGAGCCGTCGTCATCCAGAGGCGCTCTGCCAACTCGCAGCTTTATCTTTGGACCCCCGGAGCGGGGCAGACCGCCGCTTATCGAAGCAGCAGCAGCAGCAGGACCCTCGGGGGCCCCTGTGTTAAGGTGAGCTTGCCCGTAAGCCACCAAGTGAAGGAAACCAGACGTTGTGTTTTCCACTGCTTAGTGGACGTTCTCTACTAACCAGACCTCGAGCTCTCCTGGAGACTTTTAGGAAAACTGCTGTTTTCATGCTGTTAATCACCTGCAGGAATAATGTGTACGTCTTATGAATAAGAATTATAACATCCTTTTGACACTGCTAAATATTTTATTCTTTCTATTGTTATCTTAGTGACCCCCCCCCCTTCCCTCCTGCCCCCCCTTTTCTTCTGCTGCTTAGGGATTAAGTCACTAGTGCTGAATCTTTGGAGCCCTCTTAACACTGAAGACAAAGCCTTCCATTGAAGCCAAAACTATAATCGTCAACAGGGCCGGATATAAAATTGCAGTTAAACATCAGAAAATCCCCCAAATGACTGCATGAATAACTAAAAATGAATGCTGTGAAAGGGCACGATGTTTTAGCCAGCACAGCCGTGTTTGCTCTGCGTCCCCAGAACACACGCAATCTCAATATATCCTTAATGAAATGATCAAACAATTACTACATTCAAAAGAGTTTTAAGGGAATGGAAAGTCCCGCGTCATCGTTTTGGCATACGTGTTCAGCCTCCTTGGGCGTCTGTTTTCATCTCTTACACCAACTATCTGCGTGTCTCTTTGTGTTGACCGGATAAATCAGCCGTGTTCCTCCACTCCTGCACATCCTTCACGAGTCAGACAGCCATCGGCCTGTGTTCTCCACTTATCGGCCCTCGTCATCTTTAGAGCCTCGTTCCCTCTGAAGATAGAGACTCCCCCGTCACCGCGGCCCTCATGATTTATCCCTGAGCTCAGTGGGTTGGAAAGGGGCTGGGTGCAGGCTGTGGGACAGGGTGGGGTTTCTAAAAGGCAATCTGTTTAATTCTTGACGGACAGGTCCCGCGGAAGGCAGGAATCCTGGCGTCTGATGCCGCTTTCTGAGCAAATGGGGACACTTCATCGGCCAATGCACTCTGCAAAGGCGTTGATTAAGCCCGGCACACTCGCCACATCACTAATAGAGACCGTTTGATAGGATGGAAGAAATAAGTGAACAATTCTACAAGTTGTAGCTCCTCAAACAAAACAGGCCACTTACCAATACATTCAAACTAGCTTTTTAAAAAAGGCTGAAGGTGAGGACTATTTTCAGCGCAGTGGGAATCCAAGTAAAAGCTACAAAAAGATAGAGCTTTTTCAACTGCAGCAGGTAGATGGGAGATTCTCTGCTTCACATCTTTTTCGGAGCACAGCAGGATTAAAACACCATCTCAAACCTTTCAGTCTTTAACACAAAGAAAAGCAGAATCAAGAGCTGCTTTGGTTTTAAAAGCAAGAAACTGCATCGAAAAGAAAAAAAAAGTCCTTTAGTAATCATTTAACAGATTGTGATATAATGCAATAATGTTAGTAAAGAAATTATGCATATATATATATATACATACATTTTTGTTGAGAAATAACAATAAAGCGAAATGTAGCTTAGGGAATCATAAATAATGACCTAATACAATGTCATAATATCACTAGACAAATGTAGTGGTCATCCTTACGACACAACTGTACATAGGCACAGTTGTGCTTGGAGCTAACACAATCACCATGACAACGGTAAGATTTAGTGATGAAAAATGTTTAATAATCAGGTTATATAATAGTTGAGTTAATCAGAATGCTTTCAGACTACATTTGTGCATTTGTCAACCAGTTGACACGAGCTGCTGAAGTCTCTCTTAAAGTAAAGGCTTTTCAAATGTGTTATATATATATATATATATATATATATTTGTAATACTTGAAAGTGCTTGAAGGAAATGTTCTTCAAGCACTTCCAGGTATTACAAATAAATATATATAAATGTATTTCGACAAGTAAGCTGTGTTCGATGCGTTTACGAAAGACAGACACGGGCGGGATCCTTTGCTGCGTGTCGTTCCATCTCTCTAGCAATTTAAGCGTACATCGCAAAACAATACTTGAAAAAGAAGAAGAAGGAAATCGCGACCACGAGCACAGACAGTGGAAATGCTGACAGTTTCCTGACACTTACCCTTGTGCTGAAAGCCCTGAAGGGACTGCTGGCTGCAGCATCAGTGGGGTAGGATATGTTGAAATCATGGCCACAGGTGCCAGAGGCGAAATTGAGGTGTTCAGCTGTGTAGATCCAGTGAGTCTCATCGGAGTGATCAGCAGATGGTTCCAGGACGTAGGATTTGCCTTCGAGAGTTATGAAACCCCTGCACAGAGAGAGGACAGGGTGGAGAAGACCATCACACCGTATTCGATTCATTTCCTCTGAATCTAAATACAGGAATTGCACAGAAAAACAGATAAGCAGTTAGATAAGCAGTGAATACACAATATGAATCTGACCTAGCTGTAACAGAAAGGGGCCTGACTTATGTGTGACATTCTAACATAACCACAAAAGACAATGCGCCATTATAATAAGTGCAGCATCTCTTCGTTTTCCCATTCTTTTCTCTCTTTTTGCACATTTTTCTATAAAGCGAGTCTGGGTGAACTGTCAGATTCTCACAAACCTTGCACAATGTTCACAACCACGTGAACTCCCGCTAACCCCCTCCCCAAAAGCCTGAGCACACTGCCAACTCGAACGGAGAACAAATTGTCTCGGCGAGCCGGCCAACGTGTAGCTGTCTGTCAAAGAGAGTTCGATGCACCACTTGTTAAGGTGCAGACAGGTCGCAGGCAAAATGAAATCTAAAAATATTAAGTACCAAGGGCAACGGGTTGTTTGTGAAAACATTGCTGATTGTGTCCAAAGATGTCAGCGCAGTCATTACTCCTGTTAGACATCTGCAAACACTCAAATTCCATACCCGGGTGAAGCCTTATAATAAGTCAAGTTTACGGCTTCTCAACAGCATCTACTGGGTGTCGTCTCAACGTATCAATGTAGCTGAATTCCTTACTTACTGAGGTCACTCGACAGGCCGTTCCTCAAACCGTTGCACACTTGGGACTTACATTTGGCATCAAATCACAATTTGTGATTCTTGCTTAATGCAACCTGGATCTGACTTCCACAGCTTTGATGACCATTTTTCGACCATCAGGGAGGTTGTAAACCAGCACTAACACTTGAGCCACATTAACATGAACCAAACTCGCTTGTGGTAGCAGCTATGGCAGGTGTCTGTCTGATGCACTTACTTGACACCAGCACATGTACTGAGGCTGACGTCCGAGTCGACACGACCCTCCACCTCGCCGTGGTAGTAGCAGTTTGCCTGTGTGAGCGCAGACGAAAAATACTTCAGTATTTAAAGATAAAGACAGTTCAGCAACAGAGGGGAGCGGGGGGGTGGTGTCAACAGCAGCCACCATCGTCACCATCATCTCCGCCACAGCTGGACGACGGCGGATTCGACGTGCGTGCCGCTGCATTCAAAAGGGTTCCCGGCCTCGTTGGACCACCTGTCGGGGCTGCAGGATTTCGGCAACGAAAGCGAATTAAGCCAATGTTTATTGAACCGGGCGCGGCAGCAAGAGGAAGCGTCTGGTTTAGAGTGAAAACAGCCCTTGTGCTATAGTTAGACGGTCTAGCTCAGGTGAGGTCTACCCAACCACTCTGCCTGTTCCGGAGAAAAAGGGAAATGTGAGTTTTCCGCCCCTCTTTGACGGCCTCTAAATATAGAGTGCTGGCAGTAAATTTAAATGGCCGGTTACTTCAACATCGAGAGGCTGCTGATTTTGCACGTTCACCGACATTCAGCAAGTTTCTGGTGTTAAAGGGGCTTGAACAGCATCCATAGATATGGTTTATAGATCAGGCTTACCTACCAAGGCAGCATTCTCTCTAATCTGGATGTAGCACTGACTATCTGGTAAACATGGAGGATCATTTAGCAGCAGACCTAACAGGACGTAAAAGAAGTGCTAATGTGACTCCATGTCTGCTGCATGTGTAATTAGTCACTTATTTCCCATTTATGCAGCTCTACAGTGAGCACATATGTCTGCTGCTCCCAAATGGCCACACAAATCATGCAAAGAACTAAATTAATATTAATAGCAAAAAATGAAAATTCTATTAGTCACATTACATCTCGAGTTAAAAATCACCTGCTCATTTTGTTCCAGAGTCAATAAAGTATTTGATGTAAGATTTGTGTGGACATTTTAACAATTTGTGGCCACAATGGAAATCCTTTCCTTAAAATAGGATATTGTTTACATTTAACTGAACTGGAAAACAAGGTTTACAATCTATATGGCACTTAAAACTGTAGCATTTAAGTGCCTATTGCCTGAAACACAGCAACTTATTCCGGGGGAACTTTCAAGGAGCCTTCTCTGTCTGGCCACTCTCCATATCTCCTCCTTGAGGTGTACTGGAGGAGGAACTATCCATTATGGCGAGGTAAAAAAGGTACAAAGAAAGGAAGTTTTAGTGCAGCGAAGAAGAGCGGCGCTGGATTTAGTGCGCTGAGTTAATGCTACCACCTCATGTTTCTTTGATGAGATCATGACGGTGATGCATCGCCATAGAAGATATGAATAGATTTTGTTTCTAAGGTTTCCCGCAGAAATAAATGTGAGAGGAAAGTGCTTACGTCTTCATATCTGGCATAAGAAAGATTAACAACCAATAACAAGATTATTGTGGGAGGCAACGCCGGGTGTGAAGATCACATTGTTTATGCGTTTCTTAACTCTTAATATCCATGCTAATGATATATATTCCCAATAGATGGCTTTTGTTACGGCCCGTGGTACTCGCTCATTGTACATCGTGTGATGGTAAGAGAGAAAGCGAGAGTACGTGGAACGCACAGAGGGAACCGGGGGAGGGCTGACTCACAACTGAACCCACCGCGTCCCTTCGCCCCGATCTCTGCGTCTCCTCCAGCCGGCATGACAAATAAATTACCGAGAGATCCGTCTCAAAAGATCCGTCCGTTTCCATTGCAGAAGGCGCTCCCATGAAGAGCTGGCTGCGCTCATGAGAGGAGGGATGGAGGTTGAAAGGTCACCGGCTGAGATCCTTTGTTCTGTAAAATTCAAGTTTTAACCCACTCCATCCAGAACGAATTGAAAGTAAGGCTACAGCTATCTACTGTTTTAGTAATGAAGTATCCTTCCAATTACTCCATTGATTATTTGCATTAAAAACGCATCTGCTATAAACGAGCAAAAACAAGTATGCAAAAGAAAGATTGGAATGAATAACTGGTTTCCTGTATTAAAATCAAAATTTGAATTGCAAATTTAAATTGCACACAATTATATTTTCTGAAAGAATTAAACCCATTTAGTATATTTAAGTGCCGTGTCATCCTCCAGGTTTCTAGGCTACAGACTTTTTTCAGAGTTATAATTGCAATTCACCTGAAATAAGTGTAATTGTCATCTCTAGCATTTGCATAAAGACATTTAAATTATTAAGAAATGAATGACTGTTTCCTGCTCGATAAGCGTGCTCTCGGGCTTTGGGGGATAGTGACGTCAATTTCCACTCTCCTGAAACGTTCCAAAGACGTCAATGGATCCGTTAATCCTAATGGAGACAACCAGGTGCATCTTTACCACCGTTTGTACCATCAGGCCGCTCAAGCGTCCTCAGCTGACCACCATGCATCGCCTCTCTCCTTTGGAATAGCAGCGAGTCAGACCAGCTGACCGGGTCCGGCCAACAATGCGCCCCATCTGTTCTTGCAGCACTCTCAATAGGAAAGTAGATTTTGAAATCACTGCGTGGGCCGGCCATTATTGAATTGTATGAATCTCCTCTTTAGCGGATTTCAGCATAAGTAGGGCAGGCGTTTTGTACGCAGGCCTCACAGGAGTAGGATTGTTATGCTTTCCGGGTATCTGAACATAAATTAGACGTTTAATTGCTTTCCAAACTGCAGATGATCGGATCACGGAAATCAGGCAAGCAGGTGAAAGCTTTGAGGCAAAGTGAGTGTGAGCCGCATTATACTCCGTGTTAAGGTTTGGAAGCTCTCGAGGGAGGACTCAATCCTTTGTTCTCGTCCCGGCCGGAAACGAGGACACGAATGAGTCAATTCGTTTAAATTCAAAAATCAAAAGTTATTTAATAACTGAACAACGTAATAGGGATTACAATTACAAAGTGAAATACTAAGCGAACAGTGGAATATTTCGCGAAATAGAGAATTCTCTGAGCAAGTCTAAAGTGACTTATCAACGCGGCTGCAGGAGAAGTTCTAACAGTCTTTCCCCCGCCATGGCCCTTTGAAAACTCTTGAGGTGTGTCTTCTTTGGTGCATTTGAATGTCATTGGCCTCTTCTCCAAAGGGTCACCTCCTCCATTGTCCCTTCCACGTCGAGGTGTGAAGCTGCAGCTGTAACCTGAAACCTCACTGTACTAGCTGTCCCTCACACTCCAATGCACTCAATGTAGATACATTCGGCTTTATGCCCCAATGAGTGAATTTAACAAAGCATACAGCGTTTAAGTCTTCATCTTATAACTAGTACACTTTCATTACAACAACCCATCATTAATGATCACCGTTCATCACACTTCATCATAAGATCTAAAACAGTTCATGTGGTTCAATTCTCAAGACATTTGCCTCAGTCGGCTGCCTTGAAATAAGTTGTTCATTTATTACCTGACAGGAGAAAAAACTCCCAAAAAACCCTCTCTGGGGATAAAATTGGGAGAAATCCATAAAGAACGGCAATTGGCATCCGTCCCCAGGTTTTAACATCACATTGTGACAGAATGTTAATGTGTACAGTGTTTATATGATTTAAATGACTATGAATTGTGTTTGATTGAAATTGCATTCACTTCATCTAACATGTTAATGTAATAACTAATATCTAATAACACACAAACTATAATTCTAACACTAAACATTATTACACGTACTATAATTTCCTGACTAGGGGTGCACTTCTGGCTTAAATCCCTAACATCCGTCAGTGCAGTTTACACACACTCTCCCTGCATATGCTTGCTGTTTCCAAGGAATGAAAAAATCCTTCAATAAAAGGAATATTTATGGCTCTATGCAAGATATTTTTAAAGTACCATTATATTTGAAGGCAGAACATGATTTGCTGTGAAAATAATAACAAGCTTAATGAAGATGATAAATACGAATCCGAACACTGGAGCATATCACAAGAAGACCAAAACCTAACCTGGTTGGAGAAAATAATAGTGAACTCGTGAATGCCATGAGAGGTGCTGAATAATTCACAGTCAGTGCACTTAGTTCAGCAGTTTAATACTTTTTTGAATCCCAGTATTAAAATTCATTGCTTGGGACTGAAATGTAGCCATTATGAAAAAAAAAAAAGACTTTAAAGCTGACTCTGTTCTCTGACCCGTGTCCGAACAAAAATGTCACCTAGGCAGGATTGTTAATGTGCAAGATTACCCCCCTTCTAGGTGGTTTAAAAGCGGGTCTAACTGCGACGTCGAATTACCCCATTGAGGCAGTTGGGACAATTGACGACATTGAACAAGAGGAACCCGATGAAGCGGAAACCGACCAGAAGAAGAAGGTTCCACGTAGCCCAACATCGAACATACCGTTGATTTGTAAGGGTGGGTGATGAACAATTGTGTCAGCTTTTGTAACAATCAAAGAAAAAAAAACAGAAGAATAAAAGGTTGTCGACATACCGTGAAGTTGTGAGAGCCTGTGACCGCATTTCCATCTTGCAGGTAATGGGTTTCTGTATAGTTACTTGCAAACAGCCCCCTAGAAAGAATAAACAAAGACAACAGACGCTCAGAAGTGACCCCGAGGGGCCTCATCCTGGAAAATCAATCACAGTGTCTTAAGCCAGACTTGCATGGAAGATAAACAATGTGATGCGATTTAAAATTGAACCACGCTTTAGAGGAGTGTAAATTGGATTGAGCAGCTGCAGGCATCCAGGAAAGAAGGCCGGTTGTGACGTTTTCTAAAAAGCCACTTTCACACCTCGTGCATGCACCTGTGAAGAAGTACTCAATATCAATCCATGACGCATTCTGTGTCATGGTGGAACAGTAATTACCGCGCACATGGCAGACAATGCCATGTAATGAGCAGATGGTGATCTGATCAAAAAAAAAAGAGAACGGGAAGATTTTGCTGACAGGAAAACAGTGAACAAATTACAGCAACACCATCTTCATGTGGTCCCTTATGCCTACTCATGGGTCCCCATCATAGCAAACTCAGGCCCGTAGTCAGTTCCACCATTATTGCTTTCCACCAGCCAGGACGTCGCTGTACTGTTCACAATAGACAATTTGCGCCGCCGCGTGACAACCATTAAGCTTAAGTCAATGAATTAATCCGACCAGTTACTGTTTCCATGGTGAAGAATAATAGGTCTTCGGTAAACCTCATGGCTGCCCTTCTCGTCGCTTACCGAGACCGCTGAACACTCGTGCGGGGAAGGACCCTCAACAGCAGAAAGGAGACACTCCATGTTTCGCGCATTAGGCAAGTGCAAGTACAGTATTGCACTGCAGGACACCAGCAGCCGGCTGGCTTGTGATAATCAACAGCAGAGGAACAAACCTCAGCAGGCAGCTGGATTCTCTTTACTGACCTCACCACTGACAACCCAGCTGGGAGTGTCAGCTGTAGCAACCTGGGGAGGGGGGGTGGTATTTTGTTTGGGAGCTGTCAGCGTGAGACACAATACTCCCGTCCTCTGCGGAGCCAAAGAGCTGGTAGTAATCATCGGATCAAAGCGAGGCCAAAGAGGAGGGAAAGCCAAGTAAAATCATGTGTTTCTCCAGTCTCAATTAGGGCTGCGCTCTCGGTCGGACGCACAACAGATCGTCCAGTGGGGTAACTGTCCATGTGTCTGTCACTGCTTGCCTGTAACACTCTGGGAGAGTTCCGGTATAAAAGAACCCATGTGTTTGCATCATTGAACGAACAAACCCTAACCCAAAAAAGCCACACCTAAGTAATAATCTCGTCATCAGTGGACCAAAAAGAGTAACTGACATGTCAGCAGTGAGAGATTTCTTAGCCTCCCCAGGTGGCCAAATCATATGGTTCGCAGTTTCATAGAATAGGTCATAACGGGTGCGAAGTTTCCTGCAGACATAGGCCAACTCTTTCCCATAAAGTGGAAAATTGGGAGGCAATTCTTGAATGATCCGTATTAACAGAACCCATTCCAATGCTCGCGTGGGTACACGCCACAAAACATCATCGTACGGAGGACCATTGCATCGGCGAGTCTGCAGAAAGACGGATTAAAGACGGATGCAAACAGTGAAAACCAAGCCGACGGCACCTGCGGGTCATCCGAACGATCAACGGCCGGCCACCTGCAACGTATTTGTAATTCCACAAGCCACATGGCAGCCACAGCGCATTGCCTGTCAATCAGTGGTAGGTTAATGAGGAGCTGGGGAAGGGGGGGGGTAGATTGGGTGGGGGTCACGCCTCCCATTTAAAGTACATTACCCATGGGACTGACAGGGGGAGTCAGCTTCAGAGGCACCGAGAGGCAACGAGAAGATGCCACCTTGTGCCACAGAACCGAGTTCAGCGAAAAAAGCAGAGCGGCAGGTGTGACGGAGCACGAGGTACGAGTCTTTGTTCTGCTGCTGTGTGAACTCGTCACAGAACTTTGAAAAGGGAAATATTTTGTCTCCAGGCTGAAAAGGACAGAATAACTTAAAACACATCAGGGCAAGAGGAAAGAGTCAGATTTGCCTGTCAGTAGATTTAGACAACGCAGACGGGAAGACAATGAAGTCACTCCAAGCTAATCCTGAATGCCAGCTACTAAATGCCACCTCTGTTCTCGCTGCATTCAATTTTCATATTGTTTCTGTTGTATCTCTGCTCAACATTGTCCGCCTCGTCTGTCTGTCTTTGTACAGGGAAATAACACCGGGATTTGCGCACGCTGCCTTATCTAAATGGAATATATTCACACGCAGGAATAAATGGCATGGCTTTACTATTCAAACAAAACTATTGTGGACGTTCTAATTGAGAAAATACAGCTGCGCCGACCTCGGAACAAATTCCATTATTCCTTACATGTGGTCCTGATTGCTATTGTTTGCTCTGCTTTTATGGTAGCAAAGCTAATGTTGCGGCATGCGGGGTATATTAATTGCGACGGGCTTGATGAATTGCAGTTAATGACTCGTCAATTGACCGAAAAACGGGAGGTCTCATAGGTGAGTGCTGCTTATGGCCGCAAAAGAAAAGCTCCTTAACAACGTCCTCTGCATGCTAATGCAAAAGCAGACTTCTTTTAATGACGACAAGCAATTGTGCAACTCTTCGCCTGCGTCTCGTACTGACGACTTGTGATGGGATTATTTCAATTACAAAACGCAGAGGCATGAAGACATAATGAGAGCTGAGCCCAAGTCACGCACGGGCAGTAAAGACAGATTCTCAGGGAGGAGAGGGGAGTTTTGTACAGCTCGGGACAATTTTGAACAAACCTCAGAGGAACAGCAAACCGTTGAATTGATGGTGTGACAGGCCAGGAGGAGAACGGAAAAAAACGTTATGGTGAGAAATTCAGCATTTCCCGTAGAGCGGCTTGCCCATGCTTTAGGAATCATGGATCTGTTCTATTTGACGGAATATAAAGTAGCACATTTTTCAGTCAGTAGTCGCAAATGGGTTTTTAACTTTCCGCTCTGCGGGACTCTCCATTTTCTGCTGATAAGGTATCCAACCAGGCCACGAGTCTAACCGAGCGCAGGAAAGGTTAGCGCTTACACATTCAGCGACCGCAATGGAGGTACGTTGACTTCCTTTTCTGGAACACATAAAGTTAATGTCCTTAATTGACTCGCGGCGACCACCTCATTGACACCACGGCCTTCGTCTCCGCCTGAATGAGAGTTGGATCAATGTGCAGCGATTTCCCCCTCGCGGGGTCCGATGTGTCTCATTAAACTCAGACAACCTAATCAGGGACTTCAGGACAAATCCTACAGTTAACTACGATAAATGAGTTGCTAAGCATTTGGCCTCTGGGAGGGCAAGTAGCTGTCCAGCAGTTGTAAGCTTATTTAGAACAAACACTTGACACACAGATGCGATCCTCATCCAAGAAACGTGTGCGTTTCTTGTCATCTGGGAGCTCCAGGTTGGGTCGAGAGCCGCGATGTGCAATGTGTTAGCTATGATGTCCCTTTGCCTCTACGTCACCAGTGGCAGGAGCCCAGCTCTGTGTGGAAAAAAAGAAGCAAGCAACACCGCAAAACCCCCTCCAGGCCCGCGAAGAAAAAAAGACCTCGTCTCAGTCGGAGTAACATTCTTTTTTCCAGGCGCGAGGGAAGAGCGCCAGTCTTCCTGGCTGTGATCTGTCTGACATCAGGCCGTGTCGCTGGCCCGTGCCAAGTAGAGCAGAGAAGCAGAAATCCCCCTGCTTACCCTGAGCTCAATGCAACTCCCAGGCTCCATGAACAGAGCCAGAAGGACAAGCGATGGGGAGCTCTCAAAAGACCAACACGGCGCACGAGAGAGACAGACAAAAGCACCAGAAAAGTCGAGAAAACGAAAGCTCGTCATATTTGCTCTTATGTGTTATTGAGAGCGGGTCGGTCATTATCCCCCGTTTCATTTGATCGTAAAAGCCTCATTGAGAATCTTCACAGTCGCGTGGCGTCACGCGGGTTTCTAATTGGTCAGCGCGATGGTCAAACAGAATAGCCATTAGACAAGCAATTATTGCAGTGGCTGTCTCCTGGAGATTGATGCGGTTTCGCCCAGGCGTGCCCCGTGAAATCAATAAGGTGTCATCTCTGTACAATGTCGGTGTGATGGATGACTCCGCGGGATCCAAATTACAGAGAGGGGATGATGAATACCGCCAAAACAATGAATAAGATAATTGGAATTAGGGCGGAATTGCCACAGCATTCTTTGATTGAGTTTGAGGACAGCGATGCAGTATTTACCCCGCTGCTACACAGGTGTGTTAGTCGTAATAATAAAATAGATTATTTAGAGTTTCAAGTGCAAGAAGTACACCTGAGTAAGTCCCGCTAATCAAAAGTTCAGCTGTCGTATAGTTTGAAATAAAACCTCCTTATGTGCATCTCGTATTCAATAACAAGTCAGACGTCTTTACATTTGGACCATCGCTGCCAAAGAGCCGGCGTGCACATAAAGAAGCTGTAATACTCCACACCCCCACGAGTGCAAACAAACAACAGCATCGGTTGTGTGTTGCTGAGACAGGCTTATGTTTCTCCGATCCCGCTCTGCGACCGAAGTGTGAAAGGTGGAAGTGGCGTGATGGAGTAACACCTCCACACAGGCTGAGGCAGGCAGATTGCAACCGCAATCTTAATCCCTGCAGATCCACTCGCTGAGAACCCGAAGGCGAACCAATGTGTCACTTGAGTATGACGATACAGTTTGTTTTAGTTTGGCGTCGCATGCTGCTTTCTCAGCACCTCACGGGAACGTTTTGTCTATATTTGTCTGTGTTTAGTGACACATGGTCCAGCCATTCCTTCAAAAGTGCAATGAAGACTTATGTAAAATGATAAAAAGCCACGTTTGGTTAACTTAGCTTGTGTTCGTTTGTAGGAGTCAAAAGAAGCGCGCGCACACGCCCGCTGGCGAGGAATCGTGTCTGTGACGAAAGTCTCTCCCACTTCCTCCAAGAAGACGTTACTATGACTTCATTGCTCGTGACGTCCCGATCCCCGAGGGGGGCGAAGTGGCCACGCGTTGACTTGTCAAAGGCCGCTGATTAGCAC